TCTCATTGGCTCTTTTCCACCCACCCCGAATAAAGAAATTGGCAAACTAGTTGCACCCAATAATATACGACCCATACATCTGACACAAAAGTTTTGGTGACCTGTGGTGTATTGTATCAAAAGAGTATGCACATGATTGAATGCTTTGTCATTGTGCTTGAGATTCAAGTGGTTTGAATTTGTATATGTACAGTTCTTATCAGTAGCGACAGCGGTCGAAATGTTTCGCTCAAATTCCTCTTCTGACCAACCAATCATTACTTTGTCACACCCCTCTCTGCGTGAAAGCTTAAATCATCCAGCTACTCAATAATCTCAAATTCTGATACTGTTTCGAAGATCCCTTCATTCCAAATGCAAGATCCCTCAAGTACCAAAAAGTAAAAACAATCGATAAATTAACTACCAAATAAATGGCAATTTTCACAACTTGTGGAAGGTATCTATTCTGCCAGACAAGTTTGTGCATCAAGAACCCAGTCAGGAATATTGCAAAGTACAATGCAGGAACATAATGATGCAAATATTTGACCCTTCCCATGACTATGAATGGCACATAGTGCAAAATCCAACCACTGAATGGAAGAACACATTGTGCAACCTCGCAACTCGACAGATTTGCACTTGGTTGGCTTTGTCTTTGATACCTAAGCAACGAAAACAACATGTAAACCATGCAAAATAAAAGACCAATGTTTGACAACCAAGTAACAACTGGGTTCCCAATCAAAAAATACTTCGTGTCCTCATCTCCCCACCCGCACATTCTCAAACCGGTGTTCAAAATTGGCCATTCCCACCATTCTGAACTCAATTTATCAAATTTGTCTGGATCAGGTACGAGTGCATTATTTGATGCCAACATTCCGTAATTCACAAGAACAAACTCCCTCCAAAATTTGGGCTTCGGTGGCACGTATTCAACAGCAGGGGGTTCCAAGTGCTCATTGCGATGTTCTTCCACATTCCACCAAGTGGTTTTGTCTTTGACAAAATAGGGATATTTACAAACAACCTCCCCTTGTTGATATCCCCATGACGGCAACGAATTACCCGTGGTGGCTAGATAGCACCCTAGGTCTTTATGTTTCAACCTAAAAGCTGTGGATATAGGGTGCAATTCCAATTTATTTTCATTCTTGAAATAGTCCGATGGCGAAGGCTCTTGTGCTTGTATGTCAAGTATCCAATCGTGTGCTGAAATTGACACATTCGACAAAGGTGATAATGAAATTTCATAGTTTTGCTTTGTAATTGGAGCCGCAATAGGACTTGCTTCCAAGTAATTGCCTGTTTTGGAATGCTTTATTCTAATGGGACTGTCTTGAGTTACAAGACCCCCTAGTCCTGAGTCATTCACAAGCTCAATTTCAAATTCATTATTCACATCTTTGAAACCATAAGTGGTTGCTTGCTGTTGTCCAGATCCTTCGGGATAGACATGATGGTGTGAATGTAGCAAGTTGGGAGATAAACCTTGTGATCTAATTGTTACAATGGAGCCACCAGCAACAGTCCGGGGCCCAAATTGCAAATTGTTTCCCTTTAAAGATGCTTGTAGTAACGTTGAAATAGATCCGTCACCTGGTCCAGTGTGGTTTAGTACCATAAAGTGGACCTTGAAAGCAACCATATATAGTAGAATTGGAATGATAATCAAAGTGGCCGATTTTAGGACCCAATGCTTGACATATGTTTTCACATTCATTGTATTAGTCGATGTCAATTGGAAAAACTTGATCATCAAATCGTACCCAGTATAAAGTCCTACCAAAGCAGTGACGAAAAGTCCCACCCATTTTACCGAGCACACACAACCAATCGATATACCCGTCAACACCAACCACTTAATTCCCTCCTTGGACAACTCTTCCCCAACCAGGCGCACCTTGTGAAGATTCATCAAACAAAAAAACGTAAACACAGTGAAGAAAAGCAACATTGAATCAAGCAAAATGAATTTGGACAAAGTGAGCGAAATTTGTTCAAAAATAACCATTAAAGAAATAAACCAACACGTCCATTGATCAAATCCTGCTAGTACCGCCGTTCTGTACGTCAAGGGTGTAACGAGGATACCAAACAAGCAATTGAAAACCCGCATAAACACAAAATCCATGCCGTCAGGGTATTCCTTTCCGCTTTCAAACTCAAAAGAACCATCGTACCCTGCTAGATAGCCAGAAAGAGCCACTAGAAGTTTACCCAATGGAGGATGCACGTCAAAATATATCTCTCTCTTCAAGTAATGGGAACCAAACTTACCAAAATGAGCTTCGTCCCACACCACGTATTTGGCTGCATCTATGTGGTATATTCGAACTAATGCTGAAAGTGCAGTAAGAACTAATGGGCTGACGTATTTGGTGAAGGGAGAATGTAGCAGCAGCTTACTCTTTATCTGCAATTTCGAAGTTTTGTCTATAATGTCTCTGATTTCTTCGTCTTCATCGTATGCATTATCCTTTTGAATGTTAAAAGTATGTGGTTCTTGAGGGTGGTCTAATGACGCGGGTTTTCTGCGAATGGCTACCCCGCTGACATTCTTTACATAGCCCGAGGAGCTCAATGCGTCAAAGGTTCCATCCAGTGAGCTCGACATGGCTTTATTTCAATCGACTGTGTAGGAATGTACTTTATAAAGCAGAACAGATTAACCCACTTGCCTTTAGCTCTCTTTTTTTTTTTTTCTTTTTTTTTTTTTTCAATTTTTTTTTTCAACTTTTTCTCTCAAAACGCGGTTGTTACACATGTCGACACTTTGCCTCAATGGAACTCACCAGTGAATGTGTATACAAAATGATAAACATAATTCTATAAACGAGGGAATACATACAATCTACGTACTTACGTGTTCTTCCCAGCTCCCATACTTACAACAATGCCTCCAATTTGGATTATTCAGGTTATAGATCCCTTGCAATTCGTGCTCCACTTGTAGCCAATGCTTGTATTTCATCCTGCTCTTTAGATCCAAATCGTATATGTTGCATGTGATGAGATATCTGTTACCCTGTTCGTCTGGAGCTTGGTGTGGATTTTGGGCGGAACAGGAATGCAAAGGCTTCGATACTGGTGTTGAGTTGAGGGATGCAGAACCATTGATTTGCGATAGCGGTGGTGCAGGTGGTAATGTTATTAAGTTATTGATGTTGTTGTGCGAATTGTGAATGTTGTTGTTTCTATCATACTTTTCAAACTTAATAAATAGTCCCACGTCACGTAAAGTCATTACCAAAGACAAGTTTTGAGACACATCATGTGAAGAAGTCAAATTTTCAATCAAGTCATTCTTGTTGTTGATCTTTTGATATTGTTTCAATTTGGCAAAGACATTTTGATCTGGGTTGGATAGGAATTCGTAAAACAACTGTTTTAAAGGGAATTGGTTTTTAACTTCAATCAAGTCGATAATTTCGGGAGGAATTTTGGAGAAAATATCATCAAGTCCCTGATTAATAGTTTGTGGGTATAACAAATCAAGGGGACAAAAGTGTCTGGGAACATTACGCAATTGATTAAGGGAGCAAGTCCGACAATAGTTGGATGATTTATTGTCATATAGCCATTTGGGTTTGATTTCGAATATTATTGAATTGATGGGGGTGCTCGAGTTCAAGGGAGAACTGGCCATACTTCCATTCACCAAGTGGCCGTTGGGGTCGTGGGTGTTACCACTGCGATTGCTGCTGTGTGATAGCGATTGATGTGAATGTAGGTTGGGGTTGAACAATTGAGCATCGTGTGTTGATGAAGCTAGGTTACTCTCGACACCACGCGCAGCGTGGCTCTGTGGATCGTGCTCCAAGTTCTGATTCAGCAGAGGTTGAGTTCCTGTGTTTCTGGTGTTGCTGTTGCTATTGCTATTGCTATTGTTCTTGTTATCATCTTCACTACCCAAATATAATTGACAATGTTTCAGTAAACTGATTTTTGTATAGTTTCCATCCAAGATATTTGGAATCAACAAACCGTATCGTTCATTCAATTGTAGCTTGAACCCTGCACTATCTAGACCTCTAACAAACTCAGATGTCAAAACAATCAACTGGATGTCTATAATCTGTTTCGGAAACAAGTGTTTGCACTTTAATTCTATAAAGTCATACAACTCGCAAGTACTAATGTATTCTTCGTCTTCTTTTAATAAACGTAGTCGTAACAATTTGTGAGTGAGGTAGTCATTCGTGCCCGTGTATTTGAACAAAATATTGGCTGACCCATTTGCAAAATACGACCAATCTTTAGGTGAAGTGATTTTGTATATCTCCATATCCGAAATACAACAGTAGGTGGGGGGGGGGGGAAGGTTAGGGTGTTTGGTCCTTGATTGGATACTTTGTACTGCTCAGTGATAGTAACTAGTTCTTATAAAGTCCTTTCGTTTTCTTTCTCTTTTGCCTTTCTCTGGAGTTGGGTATGAGGAGAAGGCTTGAAGACTGAAGATGATGCTAGACACGACGAAGACGAGGTCTGGGTGGGAAGCGGTAGAGGGCAGTATTATCTGAATTATAAAAGGGAAGTTTGACAAAGTGAATAAAAGATTGTAGTGTCTGTTTGATGAGCAGGTAGGGGTGGTGGTAGTGGATGGGTAGTTTGTTTAGTCTTTTTTTTCTTCCTGTTTTCAACTTTTCAACTGTTCTTTGTTTGTTTGTTGGTTTGTTTGGGTTGTCTTTTAGTTTCTGTCAATGTGTGAATGTGTTGGGTTGCAATGCAATGGGACGTGTCTAGGATGAGAATAACAGGACAGGTTATGTGTGTATGTGTGTATATATATATTGGTTGTTTATTCTGTTTTGGCAAAAAGTTTGATGTGAGAAAATTAAATAAAAAAAAAGAAAACAAAAAAAAAACAAAAAGGCTGTACTGAAGTGGGTGATTTGAGTAGCCACGTTTGTGTTGGAATGGAAGGATGGAAGGATGGATGGAAAGAGTAGGTTGTGAATGGTTGATTTTGTTGGATGAATAGAGGTAGGTGTGTATGTTGTGGTGTGGCTATTAGGTGTTGGAGTCAATAATATTAGTTGTTGAAATTACAAACTACTGATTTGATTTGGGTTTGAGAGAGAGAAACTAAAAAAAAAAATAAAAAAAGAAAGGAATAATTTCTTCTTTTTCTTCTGTGTTGTGTATTGTGTATTGTGTGCAAAAAGATTGTAAAGAGAGAGACAAAAGAGACGCAAGTATAGAAGAAGAGAAACCCTTTCCCCTGACAGCTACTCACAGCTTTTACTGAGAGAAAAAAAATAATACTTCACTCTTTTACAAACTATACATGTATCTATCTATCTATATATACATATATATATATATATAATATGCCATAGTACAAAGAAAGACTTTGGTGATAGGATTGGTAGTTAACAGAATTGTAAAGTAAAGTAAGGTATAAAAGTAGTGTAATAGAGAGCTACCAATTACATTAAGAAAACAAAAAACACGCGATTTTCTATTCCTTGTTTACTCTTAATACATATACATACATATACACATACATATATCCACACATTGTAGTGTAGCGACAGTAAAGACGGTAAGTTAGTGTTATTGAACTAAGGAATATATAGTTACATGATTAGGGCGAATGTATCTATATATAAAGCAAATAGAGTATCTCCATATAACTCTATTTGTGTCGTGTCGCGCTTAAGTCACGACAAGGACACGACACACATACATTTTGCATTTGCCTCAAAAGTCTAACTCTAAATTCCGCTCTCAGTTTTTTTTTTTATTTTTTTTTTTTCTTCTCTTCTTTGAGTTAAAAATAGATCACTAACAATTACATAAACAAAAAAACAATTTATACTATTCTCTACACGTGACTCCTTTATATAATGTATATGTATATGTATATATATATATATATATATTGTTATGCTAAACAACGCTATATTTTACAATGTCCTACAAGTGTAAACCAATTCACACTTTTGTAATCTTTACTTCTCCTCTATCACAATCTTTTCTCCACTTTCAACTTTCCTCTTTCCTTCGTTTCTTCAACTCTCTTTTATATGCACTTTCAATATCAGAAAAGAGTAGGGAAACAATAAAAGCTTCAGAAAAACGCACACGCACACGCACACGCACGCACACGCACACGCACACACACACACAACACACTTGGGCCACCAAAACTTGAAACTGAAATTGTTACAATAAATTAACCATGCACAACCTCAATCTTTTATTCCGCAGCCTCTCTCTCTCTCTCTCTCGCTCTCTCTCCACCATACCAATTCCGTGTATACATCTTGTCCTAAGCTTACCAAACATCTTCTTGGTATCTATTCTGCACCTTCAAACTTCTAATCAACTCTGCAGCCTTTTCCAACTCAATTCCTCTCTCCTGGCTCAACACCTTGGCAAATGACGCTTGCACGTCTCTAGCCATATGACTAGCATCTCCACATACATATATTATAGCCCCATCTTGCAACAACTGGTTAACCTTGCTGGCTTGCTCCAATATCTTATCTTGAACATACACTTTTTTATTTGGATTGGCTCTGGAAAATGCAGTAATCAATTCAAATGATTCACCCAACTCCTTGGCATATTGCGGCCATTCATCACGATACAAGTAATCCTCATTCTCATTTCTGCATCCATAAAATAACAAACTTGGCCCAACATTTACTCCATTCTTCAACTGTTGCACGCGTTCTCTAACAAACCCTCTCAATGGTGCAACCCCCGTTCCTGGTCCAACCAAAATTATGGGGGTTTTGGAACTACTGGGTAACTTGAAAGTCGATCTTCTAACATGCACTGGCAATTTGAAATTATGAAACTTGTTTCTTGGCCCTTTCAAATCATAACTAACAACTGGTTTATCTGAGGACGAATTCTTGTTGATTTCAATATCCTTGAGCAAATTGGTAACTACACCAGTAACAACTCTTCCATCCAGTTCAGTTTCAGATTCAACAACTGCAGTAATATCAATATGGGTCTTTTCACTCAATGACGAAGATGAAATGGAATAATAACGAGGTGTCAAATGTTGAACATTTTCAATCAAAAACTCAAATGGAACTTTGGTCCATGGCTCCCCTTGTGAAAGATACAATAATCCGTCAGCAATATTAAACTTTTTATGAGTAATTTCTTCAGCATATTTCTGTTTATCATTGGCAACAGTGGTCAATTTAGTCTTTGTCTCTTCATTTGGTGCAAATGCAGCAATAGAAAGGAAAAATTGTCTTGAAACAGGTCCACTAATTTCTAAATGATGTCTAATAACCGCTTCATAAGTAATTGGAGTTGGAAATGGGATTTGATAAGTTGAATCAAGTGCCTTTAAATCAAATACAGTATCACGCTTTTTAGTCAAATCAAAAGTCTTTAAAAAAAGTTCAACATTCTCATTGGCATTTGAGGGCCAAACTGCTAAATGATCACCAGTAGTATACTTCAAATTGGAGTTGGAAAGATCAAATTCAACATGAACACACGATCTTTCCTTTGTGAAAAATAACTCTTTGATCTTGGTAATTGGTGCCAAATAAGGATGAGAATGATCAAATGGGCCCTTGGTCAAGTCAGTGCCAGCTTTAGTATTGACATACGACTTGTCTGGTTCACCCAATGAAACTGAAACATCATCAGTAGTCAAATCATCTCTAATCTGCAATTTCAAACTTGGTTCATACTTCAACTCTTTTTCTTCAAGATCTAAATTATTTCTCAATGAATCAAAGACACCATCTTTCCAAGCAAGGAAATCTTCATCCATAGTACCTTGACCATCGTCACCTTCACCATATTCAGCAAATCTCTCCCCACCCTTCTCCTCCAACTTCTGATCAATTTTTCTACCAATGGCATTGTAAAACTCATAAGTGGAATTACCCAATCCAAAGACAGTGTATCTCAAAGTACTCAATGTATCAGCTTCATTATCCAAGAAATCAACAAACTCAATTGCATTATCAGTAGGCTCTCCTTCTCCATAAGTGGCCATAATGAAAAACACCAAAGTCTCTTCTTTAATATCACCAAAATTATCCCAATCGTAGTCAGCAAAATCGGCAACCATAGTTCTTAAACCAAATCTAGCACTCAATTCACGAGACAACTTGTTGCAGTAATCTTCTGCAGTACCCGTTTGCGAACCAAATAAGAGAAGGGTGTTTTTGTTGTTTTTGGACAATGTTGCCAATATGTCACGCGAATTGCCCCCAGCAGTATCAGTGTTTAAAAACCCGCTAGACTCAGGTTTAGAAAAGAATTGGCCTTTGAGGAAATAAGCAGTAACGGCAACTGCCAACACAATGACAACCGTCAAATCCAATCTGTCTAACGCCATAGCTTATAGTACTCTATCGTGTGCTCTTTTATGTTCAAAGAAAGTCGTTAAAAAGTGTGGTGGAAAAGTATATATATATATAGATATATATTTGTAGATTGTTTTGTTTTGTTATGCAACAACTGTCAATTGAGTCTCTTCTTGTGATAAGCGTAGTGGTCTCAATATCAGTGTGATGGTTGATGTCCAGCTGTTTTGAAAAGAAACTCGAAGAAGCAGAAGCAGAAGAAGAAGAAGAAGAAGAAGAAGGAAAATCCACAACACTTTGTTGTTGAAAAAAAAAAAAAATTAAAAAAAAAAAATCATGCGAATATCGGAGTATTCATTTTACTTCACTTACTTGCACTACTCACATCAATACATGGAGGATAAAGTATACTACTGCTGATAGATACTATTGCTTCTAAGATGAAGACGTAAGTTCTACATGTGACTTGTGACATACACCTGTTGCTATACACAATTCAATTTAAGTGGTAGTATACTTAATTTTATCTTGTGATAATCGTTTGTTTATCTCTCTCTCTCTCTCTCGGTGTTTTTACTTTTTGACGTGTTAATTGTGTGTCGTGTCGTAACATACAATTTCAGGACACTTTTGGTTTTTTGTATGTGTGGGGTTACATACATACATGCACCAACAAACCATAATCATACAACTATACCAAAGAGAACAACCAATTCCTAGCACATGCAATTTCATCACAAAACATTTTGACAGCAATCAGTCAACTACACACAAACTATGTAATGGAGCCACACTTCAGATCTATTTCTCGATATCTAGTGCAAGTTTTCTCCCTTGAATTGTTGTAAAAAGTGTCGGAAACAAAAAGGAGTCAAAAACTAAATCGTCAATTCAAGTCTTGAAGCCACCACAGACAATACACAACACACATCCACCACCCATATTATCAAATACCAAGACTTCAAATAGTTCGATGCAAATAAAGTTTGGTTTCCACTACACTGTCACAAATATTTCATATTTGAATGTATTGACGCATTATTCCAACCACCAAAAGTGGGGTAAAACAGCAACGGAGTTAAGTCAAGTTACGCATCAATTATAATTTTATTTTTCAACAAGAATACAACACAAGTAAAGTGGAGTATGGAAATCGGGTATTAAAGTAGGCTGTTTTTCCGAGCCGTACTTTACATAACAATTATCTTACCATGCTTTATATAATCTACCGCTCTTATTCACTTCTGATGGTTTTCGCAACTCTGTATTTCCCCAAGCAGTGCAAGTTCAAAAAAAAAAACATCTAACATGGCCCAATCCTATTCATGACACGAATATCTACAACTTAACTTCCATCCCACTCGTAAAGCCTTGTGCACCCCTTCCGATTGTGCATCTCTCCCATCCAAATCGGCTTGTCCCTACTCTGGCCCCACCTCACCCTGCACCCCTTCTTTCGCCCCGTGGCCGTCATCTTCTTCTTCTGCTCCCTCTTCTTCTTCTTCGTCGTTCCAATCTAGTCCGTATGCTCTCTCAAGTGTCACTTTTGTCCTAGATGATATGACTTCATTGAATTCAGAACCATATAACGTCTTTATGTATTCATAAACACTCAGTGGAGGAAACTCAATCAAACTTCTCTTTCCTAACGATATTGCAAAGATCTTATCACTGGAAGAAGAAGACGACGATGTTGTCGTTGTTGTTGAAGATGATTTTGCATCCAAGGGCACTTGGTTCAAGTAGTCTCGACTCACCAACTCCTTCAAAATCTCTTTCCAATTCATGTTCAAATTGGTGTTTTTGAAATTCTCACTCTCTGATATTCCAAATCTTTTCAAACTGCGAATCAATTGTGATTCCATAATGTGATTCTCCGATAACACAACAAGGGTAGTAATAAGCATCATTATTCCCGTCTTTACCAATTCAGAATTCAGCTTGGGTAATTTGCTTTTACCATATCTCGGTAAAAAGAATCTCGTATCACCAATTTTACTCATGTCTAACGATTTATCAATGGGTTTCATCCACAATTCTCCCAAGACTTCTTGGGCTGGCTTCAGTAGATTGCTAGTTAGGAAAAATCTATTCTTTGGTGGTTGCTTTTTAACATTTTTACCATTACCATCATTTGCATCAATCCGCGTTTCATCCTTGGCTTGTTTTTTACTCAAATCGGCCTGAAATTTCTTTTCTTGTTTAATTGTTGGAGCATCAACCAAAGTTAAACCATAAACATTCTCCAATATAGCAATCGCATCATCCAATAACAAATCAGACTTAAACCTCTTGTTGGTGAGATATTGGTTGATGTGCTGCTTTTGGAAATTTTGGCCTCTAGCATCCTTGGTTAATATTAATTTGACAACATAATTCACATCATGTGCCTTATCTCCCTCAGTATGTAATCCAAGTACATTATTATTGTTATTGCTGCTGCTATTGTTACTTCCTTCTAGATAGTCTATGTCATCTTGTGTATTTTGCTCGTTTGATCGCCTTTTTTGTAGTTGTCTTCTCTTTGAACTCGGTTGAGGTTCATCATCCTCATAATCATCATCGTCATCATCATTATTATCAGGACTAGCACGATGTAGCTCACTATGGACAACGTCTAGGTCTTCCAATGGAATTTTTCTCTTGGGCATGTTGGGTTAGCAGCAGCTGTGTATGTGTGGGTGTGGTGGAGAGAGAGAGGGGGTTGACAATAGATGCTTATATAGATTTGCACTTTGAGCCTTAAATAAAACAGGGATAGGTCTGTAGTGTTTGCTGGTGTTTCGAATATCAAAGATAAAAAAAAAAAAAAAAGAAAAAAAGAAAAACATCCGCGTTTTGAGGCAAGAGTTGTGTCGCGAAAAAGACAGAGGAGACTGAGACACTGACACAAGTGACACATGGCTATCACGCTACATCTACAATAACGATTTTGGAAAAAGATAGAGGAAGCCACTTGTAAAATAACAACTGTAAGTCTCAATAAGTGGGTATATATTCAGAGCTAACCGACTCCTTCCTTTATTCAATAACGCGCAACTCAATACAACTTACAGAACATTTTGCACCCTTCTTGTGCTAAAAATTTAGAAATTAGACGCACTGAAGTACATCACCATCAAGAACGTACATCCTCGGTTCCTTGTATAACACTACTTACTGATCCATATTCTTTCCTACATTTGTCCTCACTGTGTAAAATTTTGGTGATAGTAGTGTATGACGAGAAAAAGTAAAAATCGCCTTCTTCTTGACTCCTACTTTTTCGCAGCTAAAATTCGTCCTTCTGCAGTAGGGACTCCAATACAGCCATATACGATCCATTCCAGTCTTCTTGCTGTTGCTGTTGCTGTTGCTGTTGNTTGTCATATAGCCTGCCAGGGACACCGGTGTCCTCCTCCTCGTGTTCTGGCACCGAAAACATGCTGCACATCAAACTCACTCGGATTTCAAATCAGGTTACGGATTCACAATCACACGGGTCAGACAAACATAGTCGCCAAGGTCCCAGGCGTATAGCGGCCTAGAAAATGTGAGACTTTTCCTGATGACGGCGACGGCAAGAATGGTTTTGGGGGATCTTGTCCCACATTGGCCAACTTCATGCTCTATATAGACTCCTCTTGTAGCTGCTGTGTAGCTCCTGCTTGTTCTTTTGCCTCTCAAATACCTCTGGTTACAGAGCTCTGCCACTGGCGACTGGTGCCAGCGTTGCTCAGGCTCCGAAGTTTTTGCATATTGGTCTGGCTCTTTCTGTTCAGCCCCCTTACACTAATTTGGATTTAAGTTTACTGGTTTTGCGTAGGATAGCCGCACATAACCGATGATAACCAATATGATATGAAAACTATTTACAGATACGTAACTGTCTCAATGGAAATANAACCGATGATAACCAATATGATATGAAAACTATTTACAGATACGTAACTGTCTCAATGGAAATAAATATCAAAATTTGCTTTCTCATTTCCTCATACATCCATGGGACCAAAAAATTCAAAATTGACTTTTATTCCCTTTTTGTTCAAGTGATCTTTAATGATTTTCATGAACTCCCTCGGACCTAACAAGTAAACTTCGTCTCGACTTCCGTCAATGAAATTCAAATCTTCCAATTCTAACCTTCTGTTAATGGTCTTAGCAATGGGGTGGACAGCGCCTTCTTCTTGATGGGAGAAATATTCATCAATTGACAAGTTTTCTGGATAGGTCTCCAATTGTTTCTTGAAATATGGACCAAAGGCACGATGACCAGGGGACTTGTTTGCGTAAATAAGTTTAACATTACGTCCCTCGCGTAAAGCGTATTGAGAAATGGGAACCAAGGGAGTAATTCCAATTCCTCCCGCTATCAAAACTAACTTCTTCTCTTTGGGCTCTTCTTTATATATGAAATTACCATTTGGAGGAGCCACAGCTACGATATCACCAACTTTTAACTGCTCATGAATGAACGTCGATATCTTGCCTCCATCCAACTTTCTTACCGAAATTCTAAATTCATTATTTTCAGGTAATTGAGAAAGGGAGTATTCTCTTGATTTTTCAAACTTTTCCCCAGGTAATTTCCAGCGAACACAAACATATTGGCCTGGTTTGGATGGAGGAATCTGACTTCCATCAATGGGAGTGAGATAAACCGACTTCACGTCTGCGCATTCATCAACAATTCCGGTGACTCTGAATGGTTTGAACCCTTGCCATGGTTCTTGTTTGTATTCTTTGGCCTCCAAATCAATCAAAAGAGCTGCCAAGTTTCCATAAGCTACACTCCAAGCTTCAACAAATTCTGGAGTGGCCACATCCTTGGGTAGAATCTCCACCATGGTTTCAATCAAGCATTTGCCAACTATAGGATAATGCTCTGCCTTCACTTGTAAACCAACATGCTTAGAAACAATTTGTTGAACAAAACCGGTCAAGGGAGTCAAATCTTCAATATTCTTTGCATAATTCAACAACGCAAATGCCAAAATCTTTGGTTGACGCAACAATTTTTGATCAGTTTCGTTGAAGAATGGTTTAACCTCATCGTAGTTTGTCAACATTCTATTGTAAAATTTGGCAGTCAAAGCCTCTCCTGCTTGCTCCAAAATCGGAACAGTGCTGAGGATAAGCTTGATCTGTGCTGGGGTAAGATCTCGTTGTTTGTAGGACTGGGTCATTCTTGTGTCGGTTAGATTTGATCGAGTACAAATGGCTAGGTTATGATACAATGTTCAATTCATCGTGTTGATGAGAATGATGGAGTGTATTTATATCGCTTCCGAGTTTCGACGGAGCTTCTCGTATAGGTACTTCCGAATTATCTATGGGTTGATGCACAAATAGTAAAGACGGACATACAATTCTCACCACTGTAGCATCTCACGCACGAGCTAAATGTTGCGTGCAATTGGTGTTTTGTGTGTCTCACTTTGTTAGCATTCTCAGGACGATCTTTTTAAAAAAGCAAGAATGAAAGCCGGTGAAACACCTCAGCCTCTCTAATTCGAGGCTATATTTTTGAAAAAATAAGCTTATTGAGAGCATCAAAGCTCAACCACCACCATGACGTTGCTTGTGATACTGTTGTTGTATCTTTCATCAAAGTACCTTTGCCCTCCCACCCCCTTGATCGATTTTCAAAGTGAGAACAAGAAAAAAGTACAAATAAAACATGCCACTTTCGAGAGATCTGCACATACTTTACTTCACAAAATGTATTGGAAACTGAGGACAAAGAGCATCAGTTTGTCATGAGCTTTTACTGAATTAACGGTATTTTCCGGTTCCCAAGGGGTGCCACGTTGCAAGTCTCTCCTCCCCCCCAACACAGTTTGTGGCTGTTGAGGAGCTTCGCCAATATATTTTTGGTTGTAAGTCATCTTTTTTTTTTTTTTTCAAATGCCGCAAGTTTAATTGAACGTACTGAGTGTGACACAAGGTGCGCAACGTGACAACATGTTGAGCCACCAATCAAAAGCTGTCAGTTGGTAATAAGGTATGTATTTTAATCACAATCAATCTATTCCTCATTTTAGGTGTCGATATGGATGGTTGCAACATTCTAATAGGGAATGAAGTAAACCTCCTCCTGAATGTTTTGCAATACTTGTGTTTTTGTAAGGATCAAAAGCTTTCTAAGTATTTCTGTTGTTGATGGTGCCAACGGCAAAGCTTCCTCAAGTGTGTTGTTGATTAGGAAGGCAGATCGGCTTTTCTGAACACCTGTCATTGCATGCTAAGCCTGCTCTCAGTTTTTAACCGTTTGTATATGTGTTTGATTATGGAAAAAATCGGAGCTTTACCAGTCGCCATGGTTCCGTATACCTCCTGCAATGCACAAACAAAATCTGTGTATTCTTTTTGTACGCAAGGAGTAAATTTGAGTGACTCCTTCACGTCTAGAGCCGTTCACTGTCCCCCTTTGATCTTGTTGAAGGAGAGAGCTAATGTTTCGGTTATTAAACTCCGAAATAGCTCTAAATGTCAAGGAAATGGTCATACAATGAAAAGTTACGAATGAGGCGTGAGACTACTGACCTTTGAAGGGTGAAACAAGAGGCGTTTCAATGTCCCAACTACCCTGTTCGTTAAAAAATGGGTTGATAAAGGAAGTATGGCACTACTCTTATAACTTACAAATACACTTTCAAACTTTGCAACTATCGGTAAATTCTATCGATAAATACCCCGAAGCGGAATACTTCACAATTTTCAGTAATCGCCATGATCTCGAACGGATCTTATTATTGAACTAAAGTTAGATGGAAACAAATTTATAAGGCTGAAGAGCTCATTTTAATTCTTTATTTTTTTGCTACAAAACTCCTGCAAAATGCTTCAATCCATGTTCCCTTACAACACCAATTGCTAGAACCTGGTTTAAAGTGAAATCTAGTGTGACAAACTTTTTCCTACTTTCGTCTTTTTGCTTAACAAAAAAAGAGGGTGGCGGACAAAAAGACGTATTTTAGATCAGTGAAGAGAGTAAAGTTTAGTGTAGTCTTCGGTGATAGTTTAGTGGGGATTACATTAATTGTGGCGAAAGTTGTAGCAAAAATATTTCAGGCTACAATGGGGACTTCTAATAAGTAAGTGAATAAGTATGGTAACGGCTGACTGTTACATCGTCCAATATTTGGAACAGCATATTCTGTCTATACACTGCAGATAAACGAGTTGTTGTTGTAGCATTAATGTGTGTGTGTAACTAGATACATAATAATAATTGTATGTATGTATGTATGTATGTATGTATGTATGTATGTATGTATGTATGTGCGTGTGGTATTATTGTGTAACATAGCAATCATAAGTCAAACAAATTGTTACGTGACAGTCTTCCATTTATATACACTTTTCCAGTGACAGAGACCAAATGTACTGTTCAACAAGTATCAGATTACGAGACTATAAATACACCTCCAATTGTCTCACAACTCGATTTCTTCGAGATTCTTCCTGTTAGTTTTCTTACTTTTGTTATTTATATTTTGCAATTGTTAATTGTCCTCCCTCCATAATCAATTAAACTTACACACAACACATAAAATCATGTCAGACGCCGGTAGAAAAGACTTCTCAGACAAAGTTGGTGAATCCTTAAAGCCAGACAGTCAAAAGTCCACTTTGGAAAAGGGAAAGGAAACTGTCACTGACAAGGTTGACGACCTTGCCGGTAAAGCTGTTCCAGACAACCAAAAGTCATTTGGTCAAACCGTTGCCGATAATGTTAAACAAGGTTCTGATGATGCTAAGGCTGCTGTAAACGACCAACAAGGTCCAACTTTGGCTGAAACTGCTCAAGAATACGTTGACGAAGCTAAGAAGCAAATTTCAAATGCTGCTGAATACGTTTCTGGCGTTGTTTCCGGTGCCACTGAAGGTGCCAAGACTGGTGGTGAAAGCACTAAGAAGTAAATGCGTTAACCCAGTTTTTGCTACTACGAAACCACACTTTTTGCATCTGTTGTTTTCTTTGATCTAGCTAGAATTTCGAGCTTCTATAGATGAATATATATTTATATATATATACATACATACAGATATGAGTTATATAATGGGTTAAGCAGTTTGTAATAAATTTACACAACTAGTTTGTGCTTTTTTATTGCACGTGACCTATCACTTTTGCCTTGTCGTAAAATTTTTGTTTGCGTCACACTACTTACTTTTTACAGTGACATGCCATCTCATTGCAAACACAAAAAAATCTTTGATCTACTACTACTGCAACTACAACAGCAAAACAAGCAGCACAAGTCATGAGCGACAGGGATTTACAGCCGGACTTCTTTTCCGACGATGAGTCAGATCAGGAACATCAGGTGTTTTTGAGGTCAAAAGCGAAACGCTTGCATGCTCATACTACCACAACTGATGAAGCAGAGGGGGAAGAGGAGTCTGACTTTGGCAGTGAAGATGAAGAAGAGAATTTTGCAAGTTATTCCAACCATAGAGAGACAGATAATCAAGACGTTGAAGATGACGAGCATCCACAATCAAGCAAAGAGCAGCTCCTACTAGGCGACAACGATGCATCACCTGCGTCCACCACCACCTCCACCACCATCATCAACAAAAAGCTTAAAAAGCTCACCCCCAAGGAACTTGAAAAAGAGCAAAAGCGCATCAAAAAAACTGGTGTTTGCTATCTATCGAAAATTCCACCATACATGAAACCGGCGAAATTGCGATCCGTACTATCACGATTTGGTTCAATTGATCGAATCTTCCTCAAACCAGAAGACGCATCGATTTATCACAAACGAGTCAAGTATGGAGGAAACAAGAAGAAGCGTTTCACTGAAGGATGGATTGAGTTTGTGAACAAGAAAGACGCAAAATTATGTGCACAGACTTTGAATGGTAATAAATTGGGAGGTAAAAAGACATCTTATTATTATGACGATATAATAAATATCAAATATTTATCGGGGTTTAAGTGGATGGATCTTACTCAACAGATTGCCAAAGAAAATGAAGTTAGACAAGCTAAATTGGTGTTGGATTTGTCACAACAAAACAAGTTTAATAAAGCATTTGTTCACAATGTCGAACAACTGAAGATGATTGAAGGGATTAAGCGCAAGAGGAGCCAAAGGGACAAAGAAAAGGAACCAGGTGAGGGAGAAGATACCATTACTGCCAGTGACAAAAAGAATAACAGCAAGAATGATGATGTGAGTGATACCTTGCGAAGACATTTCAAACAACGCAAGGTGACAAGTACAAGGAGCGACGCCTCAAGCGAATTGAAGGAAAAGTCTGCACCTAATGACCGATTAGCCAATGTTTTATCGAAAGTTCTATAAAAAAATACAACATATTGTACATTAGAATCACAAATCTAGGTTTTTGGAGGAAAGTTACTTGTTTCTGTAATACTTTAAAAAATCATAGCGTCTTTGTAAATCCTCTTTACTTGAGCACCCCAATTCTTTCATGAGCAATTGGCTATTTATAGCATCTTTGCGCGATACCACTTTCAGGTTTACAACCTTCATCAACTTCAGCCATTGAGTGGCTGTCCACCACGTCGTGCTATCGCCGCCAAGTTGAAATTCAAGTTCGGTTTCTCGATCTAGATCTCGATTGCGGTTGCGGTTGAGGTTGCGGTTGCGTTCGTCGTGAAGAACGGAATTCTCTTTTCTGTTTGATAATGGAGTCGAGTTTCCTAAAGTGTTGTCATTGTGAATTGGCGATATGTTGACATCCGGCCGACTAAGTACATCGTCTCTCTCATGTACATCAAAATTTAAATGGAGCTGCTCACTTCTCGAATGGGGGACTTCTTTTTCTGGTTGCTGAGCCGTTTCGCTAGGCGCGTGCACGAAATCCGGCTCATCAACTTCAAAGTCATATGACGGCTGCACGGTTCCATCGTTGGATCTTGTATATCGTGCCTTTGCTGGCAGAACATCACTAGGTCTTGTTGTCGCATGGATGCCTTCATCATTTGGCTCCGTCCTTTTTATCGACTCCAAAGTTGTATTCACTCTGTCCAAAATCGATTGTTTAGCTTCGTCATCGTGTCTTATCTTCAGTAGGGGTGTTTCTGTTGCTCGTGCTTTATCCTTTCCATCACCTTTCCTTTCTATACTAGGCTTGGCAACTTTGTACGAAACAGGTGAATGATCCACAGGACTGAGCTCTGAAGTAGGAGGTTTTAGTCTTGTGACAGGTGTAGGGCTGTGGTTTTTGAGGCGCTGCTTATGTTTCTCATCGAGCGATATCGATTTGTCAAATTTCAAACTGGGCGGAGATCCTATTGTCAATATGTCGGGATCTTTAGCATTTTTGTGTATAGGGGAGCCCTTATCATTTCCAGTCTTACTTTTCGCTTCCTTCAGGAGACCTGACTCTTTCCTCAAGTTAGATGTTGCTCCATAATTGACTCCACTTGCTCGGAACGATCTATATAGCCCATTGGCAGTTTCTGTTTGTTTGATGTTCAGGGTATTGAGCCTAACGGGTGTCTCCAATTCTGTATCATCAAACTCCTCTTCCTCTATCGGTCGCCTGTAGTCATCCAATTGAAAACTCATGACCCTTGGAAAGTTCTGTACTATGAAGAGAATCCTTTGTTAAATGTGGGACGGTGAAAGTCAAAACAACTGAAAACAACAGTACGTTTGACCAATGTACACGACCACACTGTAACACGCTCTTGTTGCAAACGAGGTCAAGTAGAGGTTAGTAGTCAGTGCATATCTGTACTTTCTGAATCATATTCTCACTGTATGCTTATAGGGCCTAAACAAATACACTTTTGACCATATGAGGGGATTTCAGGAATGGAGCACAACTTGTATTCTGGAAATAGGTTTTTACAAAAGAAACAACATCTCTCCAATCCATATTCACGTCACAGATTATATAACTGAGCTATACTCACAACTTGCCTTCTTCAGTTTGTATTTAGTTGGCTCGCATTTGGTAGAATGGCAAGCCGGTTCGATTTTTGAGAGACCGTTTGTAAAATTCACATTTTGTACTAGTTTTGGGGCAAATTACACTCAATACAATTTCACGACAACCCTTATTCAATTAGTACCAATAACCTGTCTCCTCACCCTCCCCCCCTTCCCACTGAAAAGAGTTGAGATTTACATATCCTCTCAGAAGTGTATCACAATCAATCAAGAAGCAGTGAAATGAAGAGTGTTTCAATTAATTCTTCACTTTGCAATAGTTGTTGCAGAATAGAATACACACGAAGCTACAGACAGGAGGAAGATAAGAAACCAGCACAAATACGTTGATGAGTACATGCTTGGCAACCACCGAGAAAGTCGTATACTAGTTCCAAATAGAGATAACTGTGGATGGCTCTCAGTTCATTTTACTCTTCTATGACGATGCAGTGTATTCCAGCAAAGATGCTTATCAGGTAAAAAAAGAAAAAAAAAAATCTATAACCAAAAAACTATAAACAGCTCTCTATGCCTTACCATGAATCCAATTTCATAGTTCCATTCTCTTGGAAGTTCAAATGCATCTTAAACACATCCCTCAAAGAGTGTGGTTCATGTAATGTCTTCCTCTTGGTACATTCGTAAATTGCTTTGTCAAGGTAATCTTGTAATTGATCTCTGTAGTCAGGGTGAGAACACTTGTCAATGATAACCTTTGCTCTTTCCTTTGGTGACAATCCTCTCAAGTCAGCCAAACCTTGTTCGGTTACAACCACATCCAAATCATGTTCGGTTTGGTCAACGTGAGGAGCCATTGGAACAATACAAGAAACACCAGTTGGGTCGACTTTCGAAGGTCTGGCAGATGGTGTATGCATGATGGACAATTTGGCATTTCTCAAGAAATCAGCTGATCCACCCAACCCATTCAACATTCTTGAACCCATGACATTGGTTGAGTTTGCATGTCCATAAATGTCTACTTCAACTGGAGTGTTCATGGCAATAACACCCAATCTTCTAATGATTTCAGGTGAATTTGAAACAGCTTGTGATCGAAGACACAATTTTTTGGAGTAAGTGTCCCAGTTTTCGTAAAATTTCTCAAACCCAGCTTCAGTTAATCTAATGGAAGTGGCAGTTGCATAGTCTAGGGAACCACTTTCAAAGAAATCTAGGAATGAATCTTGTAAAACTTCAGTCCAAACAGTCAAGTTTTTGAATTTAGATGACGCCAAACCTTCCACCACTGCATTGGCAATATTTCCAATTCCTGATTGCAATGGATGCAAGTTTTCTGGTAATCTACCTTGTTTGACTTCATGTTCCAAAAACTCAATCAAGTGGTTAGCAATGGCTTTTGATTGCTCGTCACTAGCAGTATTTGGTGGAACCTTGTCACGAGTGGTACTTTCAACAATGGCAACAACTTTACTAGGGTCAACTGGAATCGAGTTCAAACCAACCTTGTAATCAGCAGAAGTGTGTGGGTATGGTTGTCTGAATGGTGGATTAACTGGCATATCTATATCGTGAAGACCTTCAAAAGATGGCGTGTTGGTATTAACCTCAATAATCACCTTGTCGGAGACGGACAACATTTCTGGTGATGCACCGACAGCTGGTCCAGGGACAATTGAACCATCTTCTTTGATTGCAGTGGCTTCAACAATGGTGATATCCAAATTGTGGCCATTTGGTTTATCCTTGGTATAGAATCCATATGTCAAGTCTTGTGGAAACATCGACAAGTGCTTATCAAAGAACTGAGTTCTGCCATCATTAATTGCAGCAGCAATTGGTTTACCAACCTGATGAGGGGATCTGGTTAGAAGCATATTGTTATCAGCCCATCTACCTTCTTCTGGACCAGCACTGGCACCAACAAACAAGTGGAAACCCAATTGGCCCTTCAAGTTGTTATTCTCGACGTGATCTGCCAATACGGTGGGGATGACTTTTGGAGCACCAACACCGGTGAAACCAGACCAACCGAGATACTGGCCATTTTTGAAAAGATCAATACATTCTTGACCAGTTCTCAACTTGTTCAAGTATGGAGCATATCTGACTCTTTGTTTTAATATAGACGACATTGCGAGTGGAGCAATTGTGTGTGTTGGTTGTAAAAAAAAAAAATGAAAAATTGGTGTCTTTCGAAATCAGAAAATAGAATTAAAGTTGATGCGATGTATAATGTGATGTGTTGTGAGTTGAGACCTGAAAATCTGTTGTCCCCAAGTACCAATTGATTGTAGGTGTGTATGTGTGTGTGTTTATATATATATACCCTTTGTGAATATTCTTATAAATGGGTATATTTTCTCCTTGGATGTTGAATGTATGTTGTTTGCGTTGTTTGCGTTGTTGGTGGCTTCTGCTACTGCTGTCGTTGCGTGTGTAAATAAGCAAGAAATTGAGGAGTAAAAAGAAAAAAAAAAAATAACAAACAAAAAGTGTGTCGTATAGAAAACGCTAATTACTTTTTGTTGTGTGTTGAGTGTGTGTTGAGTGTGTTGTGTGCCAAATTTTGTTGTGTGAAAAAATTGAGGGGAACAAACCAACCAACCAAAAATAAATAAATAAATAAAGTGAAGTGAAGTGATGTTAAAGTGATCTTCTCTCTCTTAATTAAGTAAGTGGTTAGTTAAGAGTGGTCTCTGTGTGTATATGTGTTATTTGTGGATTTTTAATCTCGGATATAGTGTTATTTAACCTCAACTATGATACTAATGGAGGGGTAAATGTGTCTTTTGAAAAAATTTAACTGCACCGCGAGAATTGTAGGAATCTGACTTGTATTTATATACAGCTGCAATCTACGTTTCCACCTGAGATCTGACTCCAGTTTACAAGCAGTAACTACCAAACAGTAGATGTAGCAAATAATGCTTTCCCGGTCGGGTACATATTTCTTGCTGTATGGGTAACATAACCGTTGTTGTTATTGTGTATTGTTGTGTTGTGTTGTGTTGTTGTTGTTGTCGGTATTTAATTAATGTTGTGTGCCGGCGAAAAAAAATAACAGAAACAAAAAACAAAATTGATTTGACAAAAGATACACGACCCTTGCACAACAATGCACACACAAAACAAATCCTTTTTCTTTCTTTTTTTTTTTTTTGTTGGCAATTGGGGTTTTGGGGGTTGTTGCAAAACTGCCACCCAAAAAAAAACAGAATTGCAACTAAATATTAATCTTTAGAGTCGATGCGCCTACACACACCTGGAGACTGATAATTTTACTCAACAAAGGTTGTGATATTGAGTATATATATATATATATATATATTGATCTTTACATATGAAGAACCCCCCTTCGAAGTTTTGAAATATACTCCTACATACTGCATATAAATCAATCTTCTTTTCTCTTTTCCGTTACTTCTTCTTCTTCTTCCTCTTCTTTCTCTTCCGAGGCTACACAAAACCACATATACTATTTACACAAATGTTTTTCTTCTCCTTTTTTTCTCTCTTCTCAGTTGCTTCCCACAAAGTATTGACAAGATTACACTACCCACAACATCTCCCTCCCCCATATTTACTCTGACTTTGAACTTAACGACTGCAATAACAACTACCACAAGAGAAGTAGTACATACATACACCTCTGACTGTCTTGATTCTCCTGGTTCAGCAATAGTAGATCGATGTTTAAATATTAGAGGTTGATTAAATCTTCTTTAGACAATTTGTTTTAATTTTCTAAATAAGACACTTTAACCTCTTCTAATCTGACAAAGATTGAGTTTAAATGCACACGCATCAAGCACAACAGACAGACATACGTTTAGACCCAATTTAAATTACCGTTGCAGTTTATTTTTTTTTTTTTTTTTCACCGCCAAGAACAAGAAGATAAAAGGTACAAATGTGTCAAACACTAAATTTTTGCTTCGAGAATATCCGACACTGGACCACACTAACTATGCTACTGCTCAACTGCAGTGAAATTGTTAAACTGATGATAATACTTTACAACGAGTAGAGCAGTTTTCATACAAAGAAACACACTTCTATTGTCTCCGTCTGTGTGTGTTTGTGTGTGTGTGGGGGGGGGAGACATTTGTGTAAGCATGTGCTCAATATTGATCAGCATACCCCGGATGCAAAAGGGAAAAAGAACGGAGTCATTTGCTGCAACAGGTGATAAAATCAAAGCAATTAGAATACATACATACAGTATGCACAGTATGCACATTTGCACAATTACGAAAACGAGAGTAACCCCGGACTTCCTACTCACTTTACACCTAACTAAATTTCGTATACGCATAACAAATAATGCATTAGAGGTCACTCAATCAGGTGTTTTCCTCATACCTTGAAAACGAAAAACTGCTCTGTTTTTAATTGACCAATGTGGAGATCGTTCATTCTATGTCTTCATCTTTGCTTAATCGCTGACCTACTGTTCAACCTGCCACACACACACACACACACACACGCACAAATTTTAGTTTTACGGAGTAAAAATAGTATGGTAAAGTGGGTTTTCGTTTTGTGTATCAAAACCTCGGAGTTTTGAAATTACAGAAAATTTCTTTTTGTTCATTCCAACAAATCACAAACACACATTAAGGACACAATAGTACATCAAATACCCACGGGAAAAGAGAGAGATATCAGTTATGAGACAGACCAATCATATCAACTGTATTTGGTCTACGTCACCTACGTCACATACGTCACCTACAACAACAACAACCACCACCCCCACAGTAGATTGAAAACACAACGAATGTACCCCCCTTCCCCTTTCCCCTTTCTTCTTTCCTCTTTCCTCCCCCCCCCATAGTCTTCTCCACAGAAAACCATTGTAAATACGGTAATGTAACACAAATCCCCTTACATGTCTCTGGAGACCCCATTCTAAAACCGATACTCTTCAACTTACATAATGTCTCTCATACTTGAGATATTATTCCAATCCAGAAGAAATAAAAAAACACTACTACATTTCAAATTTTATCTAATATTGTCTTTGACTTTAAACTTTCGACTATCAACTTTTTCAACGACGTGACTGTTTTCTCTCTATAAATCAACAAAGTCGTCATATGTTGATCTCCAATTCTGGAAGAACCCAGTAAAGAATTTTGTTCCCAATCCAACATCTTTTGAACCAATAGTGGCTCTGATTGAGTGCATCGACAATTGCGGGATTCCAAGATCAATGGTTCTCACACCAGTTGCTGATGAGATGTGGGGTCCAATTGAGCTTCCTGATCTAACGTCGTTTCTAATTTGGAAATATTGCACTTGATCCTTGTTCAATTTAGCCAATTTTTCGGCAACTGCGACTCCAACAGAGTCAGTGGCAAAATGTCCATTAGGATCTAATGCAAGAGCAACACCCTTGTTGGGAACGACTTCGTGTTTTTCCAAATAAACTTCCTTGAAATTTGGATTCAACAAATGGTTAACATCAGCAGACAATATAATCGAATTGGCATAGACTAATCTCACCTCGTCTTGAACACCAAGACCATCTGGGTTGTAATTCTCACTTGCAACAACTCTTTCCACAACCAGCTCAAGTAAACCCCCTTTAGCACCAGTTCTAGTCAAACTACCAATCTCTTCATTGTCATACAAGGCAACAATGGAGAATGCGTCACTATTCTCAACTTTCTTGTCACTGTATGCATCGACCAATGCGTTCAAGGCTGCAAATGAACAAATCCGGTCATCAACTCTAGGTGCAAAAATAAACTCATTGTTTAAGCCACCTCTGGTACCCTTTTGTACATCAAACAATTGCAAGTCCCATTGACTAATTTGCTCAACATTGACATTTGCCTTCTTGGCAATATATCTCAACAATTTCAATGAATGCTTACCATACAAAGGAGCATTCTTTTCTGCTTCAGTAGGCTCAGGCTCCTCATCTTGTGAAAACCCAATAACTGGAACCGCCTTCGTTTCAGTATTGTGTGGTCCCACCGAGGGTTCACCGAAATGTGGTGCCAATGTAGGAATATGAGCAATTGGATGAGGACTTGAATCAACCAATTTCTGACTGATTTTACCCTTGGAGTCCTTCACCAACAATCTGCCTCCAATACCCAAATCTCTATCCCACCAGAGACTACCCAAAGTTCCAGCATAAGGAGCAACACCAAGCAACTCGTATCCATCAACTTTATCCTTCTTTGAGACGGGCTTTAATACAGTGGTGAGCGAGTCAATGTGAGACCCAATAGCACCAAAACCTTTACTTGGTTCCCAATCTTCACCAATGACAAACGCAGCCAAAGATGAACCATTTCTTATGGTAAAATATTTTCCGGGCTCGATTTCACTCCAGGATTCAGGTTCAGGCAAATACGTAAACCCAGCATCCTTCAATTGCTGTTTAAAATAGTCGACAACATGATAAATAGTTGGGTTATTGAAAGTAAACTCAATGTATTTGTCAGCCAATTTATCGAAATATTCTTGGTTGTATTTAGACAGGACCAATTCCACAGTATCTGTTGCTTCGTGGTCGGTTTTGGCTTGAGATTGAGCCAAATTTTGTTGCTGTTGGAGCTTGCTTAAGGATTCAGATATTCCGGCGAGAACATCCTCAATTGTTAAGTTTGACATGTTCCTATCGTACATAGACTGGTAGGGAGTGTAAGAGTCGTTGTTGAAAAAAAAAAGTGAACTGTAAATGGTTGAAATTTTGAGTGCACATTGTACGGCACCAAAACTCGAAACTTTGCTCTATTGTTTGACTTTTTTTTTGCCCGCCAGCCACAATTCCGTTAATGTGGCTTCAACTCGCGCACGTACCCACACGCACATTCCCTACACAACTTAATTCTCCGCTCCTCACAGATGGTCAATGCTATTGTCCATTGTATTGATGGACTGAGTGGCTGAATCTACTAATGGTGCAATCACCGGATGTTAATTAGCATTTCAGAGCTAGACGGTTGACGGGCATACGGTCGATCACGCACTAAGGGCTAATCCAGTGGAACATTCCCCTCTCTAGTCAATGCAGCTTACCTCCTAAAGCATCTCATTCATGGAGATTGCAACATGAGAGCATCAAAGGTGGACGGTTGAGAGAGTGTTGAAGCGAGCCAATATGTGTCAGATGCAGTACATTGTCCTTGTTCACTTGAGGACATCATTTTGCTCACACGTTTGAAGTTCGTTGTCACTTGGAGAAGCTCAAGCTGGTTGTTTGAGTTGCAAATCAGTTGCACGCACTTTGGGTTGGGACCTAGGGTGGAATTAATGTCCAACCGCTATATCTATCTCACAAAAGTCAAGGAGCCATGTAGGAAGAGACCAAATGACGAGAGAGGACTGTTGTTTATCAAAGACAGGGGTTATGAGAAGCTCGATTGTGAGTACCTGTTGTAATGAGCAACTGCGGTGATCAAGAGAAACGCTTTTGTTCTTTGTGAGCTGTACATTGACTAAGGTACAGGATTGTTGGAAGTACAACAGGCTTAGTTGAATACTTGAAGAATGATCAGTTCCTATTGTGAAGTCAAGCTGCTCGATACATAAGTTCTTGTGCACCAACACTGGATCACAATATTCAGATATCAATTTAAGTAGGAACGTGGGACTGCGGCAGATGAAATGTTCATTGGCAACACCATTGCAGTCTGCTCAGATTGAATGCTGAAGGACGGTATCATAATCTGTTCATATCAAGTCAAGTCTATTGGTATACGGCGTCTCTTTTTTACTTGAGATGGTCAATTCAAGTTAGTTCCTATTGTGCGCTCTTCTTGCCATCCGTGTCGTATCCATGATTGCAATAAATCAGTCAATGCCTTCTTCACATACTCCTTCACCACCAGCTTCCCAACCCGTTTCATAATCATTTTGATAGGCAGCTTCACAGCAGCGGCAGCAGCAGCAGGTGGTTTGTTCACAGAATCATCACTAACCCTTTTGATACGAAACAACTTCTTCCACTTGAACTTCTTCACGTTGCTTTTGTGGCAACTATCTGCCACAAAGACGTCAGGTGTCATATCACTTGGTCCTGTTTGACTCAAAGTGTCATCTTGAGCAAGATTAACGGGCACAAGGACACTACGACGATGAGGTAAGGCTGGATTGGCAGCAATTGGGTTATTCCCTTCTTCAAAAATTGTTATAGGTGGGTAGAGAACATGGGACACAGAGGGAGATAGAACGTGGGACACAGAAGGAAGGTTGTTCTCCTCACCACAAACCGCAGATTCACAACTCTGCTTTGCCGTTTTGTTCTTCCTTGAAACGAGCGCTTTCAAGTGTGGACTCACATGCTTCCTCAGGGAACGAGACGTTTTCTTGCATGTCTCAGACACTTGCAAGTCAGGTTCAACTCTGGCTTTATGGGACTTGAACGGTTTGCCAATATCACTCCCAAATGTTTTGACCTTTAAGCAAAACTTCTTCCATTTATTGCCAGATTTCACAGCTGCTTCAACGTCCTTTTCAATTGGCTCAATTGCAGGGGCTTCAGTGACTGGGGTTTCAATTCCACTGACGGGAGAGACCACTAATGAACAATTCACCTCATCTTCATTGCTCTCATTACCGGAAACACTAACAATGTACTCATTCACAGATTCAACATTACCAACAACAGTGCTAACCGGTCCCGGACCAGATGCTTCATTGGAATCCTCAACTTTGCCACTACCATTATTGTCATCATTCCTGCAATGATGTTCAACTTGCAAACTTTCCAAAGGATTCAACTTCATATCCATTGCATCTTTTCTCCTTTGTGGGACAGATTTACGTGTCTCAGCAACTTTCCTTGTCACGAACTGATCATAGTAGTTGGGCTTGTTCAACGATTCAATGTAAAGCTCTCTCACACCAGTCACTGATTTGGCATGCACCATTTTCTCAAATGAACTCAACTTGGTCTCCTCGTCATGGGCTGCTGTTGTGGTGGTGGGATGTTGGATTCATCAGATGTGGAAGTATATAGTGCTCTTTCGAAAATCTAACGCGTGTCTCGAAAGTCTACCCGTGGTTCGTATAGTGCTCCTTTCTCATTCTGCTGTCGACACTGATGCATTGTGGCTTGTGCATGCACTTGGTTTTGATGCACTCGTTGGTTCTTGCTGGTTTTGCAACCAAGTATCAAACCAGAGATGGTAGCGTCTTTTTTTTTTCGCAAAAGTAACAAGGTTTATTATTTCACTAATGAAACATGGACGCTGCTATCCAGCGTACTATTACTAGACAATCTACTTATTCATTCTTGCTTTGAACTTGCTAATTCTGACAGGGGCTCCCTCCTCATCCGTGGGCTCAAATCCTTGTTCTTCCTGATTCGCTCTGTTTCTCAAAAGCATCTTCTCTCTCATCCTATGATAGCTGTCGCTGAGCTCCTGATTGGTAATCTCGTTCTCATCATTAGCTTCACCAAGCACATCTTCATCAAATTCGTGCTCCTCTATGTCGTTCATCATTGTCTCGTTCTCGTCATAATCATCTATATCTGCAGTGTCTTCGTAATCCATTCCCACTTCATTAGACTTTTTGTCATACGTCTCTCCTCCAGTAGAGCCAATTAGTTGGTCCTTTCTTCTATCCCTCGATTCAACAATCTTGTTGATCTTTTCGAAATCTTTCAAGTCCTCGACTAATGGACCTTCCACGTCGACGTCATCGTCATACATTCCCATCAGGTAGGCTTTCGCCATTGTATCAATGTCTTGCATGTTACTGTAGTCCAATTGTGGTGCATTGGGCGTGGTGCCATTGACACTTTTACTGTCTAGGACGCCTTCGGCTTTCTTTTTCTCAGGAGTCTTGTTCTTAGTCGGACTCGATGCACTCTCCCTTAGAGCTTTGAATCTTGAAACAGGCTTACTTTTGATCCCTTGAGATCCCGAAACGTGCGAATTTTTTGACTCCTTCTCCTTCAGTAAATTGGCATCGTCTTTCTCGACTATAGTGTCTTCAACAATTGGCTCGGGTGGGTTTTCGTTAACCTCTCTCTCGAGCACGGTGTCCTCCACTATGCTCTCGTTGGTGTTTGACTTGCTGTAGTTGCTTTTCTCTTCAACGTCACTTTTGCCAACCTTTGCCCGGTTTTGTTTGAACAATGATGTTTTCTTATGAGACTGTGGGGTTTTCAAACTATCGCTAATGTTCTCCACATTTTTCACATCCAAGTTCTCTGCAAATCTCACTGACTTTTGCTTCTTCTTACCGTCACTCAAATTGGTATAAGACTCTTCTGATTCCGTTGCATCCAATCCATGCTTTTGACTGTTTTTACTGCCCTTCTCATTCTTCCGTAGTTGGGCAACTTGACTCCAGAACAAATCACTTGATTTGCTGTTCCCTAGTTTTCCTCCGAGCCAAGTGCTATTTGGTTTATTGCCAAATAGAAGGTCGTCTGCTGCATCGTCGTCAACATCATCATTATCATCATTGTCGTCCTCGTCGTCAAAATCATAGTCCAATTCTTCTTCCCCACTGTAATTTCCATGGTTTTCCACCTCATGATCATCAAATTCGTCAGCTAGTAGTTCCAATTCAAGTAAATTGTCCGTGTCAATATTGTGATTCATCGATTTGTAATTTTCCATAGCGGGTGCAACCTCTTCCTCTTCAGACACTTCTTTCGCCGTTGTTTCCTCGTCATTCTCATCATAATCCTCAAACGCCTTTAAGCAGATTCTTTTTAGATTGAATTTCTCTTCTGGACTGATTTTCAATTCATCGATTTTATCTAAAAGTTCATCCTGGCTTATATGTTGCTTTAAACGATCGCGACTAGGCATTAGTTCCATGTCCGAGAATAGTTGCATAAGCTCCTCGTCGTCGTCATTTCCTTCCTTATTCTTGTTTACTGGCGATAACAGCTTTTCCATTTTGGCCGAATCTGGTGTCTTTTTGTCAACCTCAATGGGAACATTGTTGACATTTGAGCTGATGACATTCCCATCTTCATCTACTTCTTCTTGAATATCCATAAAGGGAAGACCCTCTTCATTTAGTCTCTCCTTGTCATCTATTTTGTCAGCCAGTGGCAGTTGTAGCTGTAATTGCGCCAACTTGTTCAAATTGTCCTTCGTTGATTGAGCCTCCTTGATTTTTTGGTCAAACTGGTCAACCAAAGCTTTGAGTCTGTTAACCCTATCCTCATATTCACCAGTTTCATTAGAAGTGGTGGTTATCTCTTTGATCTCCTCAATTTTAGGTTTCTTTTGCTTAATGGCAACACTAAGCTCCCTACTGAGGTGTAGCCTTTTCCTCTGTAGGTTCAAAATAGTCAAGTTTATTTGTTTAATGAGTTCATTTATCTCTGTTTTCTCGTCAAACGGGGACAGTGCGTTTTTAGATGTGATGGGCACCTGACTAGTCATAAACAGCGGTGTTATTTTGGTGGTTCTGGAAGCCTTGGAAGCCTTGGAATACTGTGGAAAGTCTTCCCTCCTTTTTAATTTTAATTTTTTTTTTTTGCTTGCCTCTTCTCTCTTATCGATGGATCACAAAGTGTGCTGTGAGTAAACAGCGTTGTAAGTTTTAGTACGTCATAGAGAGCCTATAGAGAGCCTCAATCAAACAGATAAAGTACAGTTATCAGAAATGTATAGATTACGTACACCAATTTATGCAGCTCCATCATCTATTCATGGCACCATTCCCTCCACGCGTTTCCTCCCAATCACGTAATGCAGCTTGCCATTCCGCATCCTCCACATTCTCATCAACATCTTGTTTATCGATATCCATAGCCTCTTCTTCTTCATTTACCGCGTTTCTTCTCTTTTCTTCTTCTTTATCAAACTTTTCCTTTTCATCAATCCATCGTTCGTGAATATCCACTTCTTGAACACCGACAGAACCGCCTTGCCTGATCGCTTCGTTCCAAATTGTATCACCTCCAACCTCACTGCCAAAGCTGTATCCATTGGCCTTGTCTATGACACTTAATAAATTGATCATGCTCTGTTTATCTTCGACGAATAGTACTTCGAATGCCACCAAATGGTACTCTTCCACCAATTCACCTATTAGTTGCGTCAAACGTACATATTTTTTACCCAATACCGAGTTTGATTCCTTTTCCAAATAGGGAGTTAGGTAATTTAAGTCTTGGACCTCTGTATAGTAGTCTAACCTAAAAGGCAAAGGCCCATAACCTTTTAACAAATCGATCTTGCTAATGACATTGACTTGAGGGAGCTCCAATTGCAACATTGATCGTAGACTTAGTAGCAATATGGAAATGTATTGTGACGGACTGGTCAAATAGATGGAGTCTACCAACGATACAACGCATAGCCTTAATTTTGCTTGTTTTGTCAACGTATTGAATATCTTGTGCAATGCACCATGATGAGTAAATAACTCGATTTGTCCTGGACAGTCAAAAAGTAAATAACTTCTTTCATCAACAAGCTTTTTAACTTTTGAAAGGAACAACTCAATGCCGTTGACAATCAACAGTTCCATAGCAAACATCAAACCACCATTGGGGCCCAAATTTAGCTCATTCATGACATCATCCAAGCTGATGTAGTCTCTTATATCCAAATCACAAGGGTAAGGAAGTCTATCATTCGCTGGGTCCAAATTTATAATGCTCAGTTTACGTCCAATTGCTGATAAGAATTGATACATTCCATGGCAATAGGTGGATTTGCCTGCTCCTGGAGGACCAATTACAACTTGCCCATACATTGTCTGAATGAGCACACAGTAAAGGAATTTGTTTTATAGCAAGCTTGGTGTTGGAAAAGTGCCTATGAGTGTAACTGTATGTATACTCTTTGTATATGTGGGATAGGATGGGATGTGATGTGATGTGATGGGGCAGAGGTATATATATCTCTCTCTCTACATTGTGTGTGTGTGTGTGTGTGGCGAAAAAAAAATATTCCCAAAGGCGAATGGAAAAATCCACCACACCAGAACCACAACCAAAGTACTTACCAAGACGATTAAAATACTGGATTCACGGTATATTCAACGCAACTACGCCACACATCCTTACTTCAAACAATGTCAGTTGCAGCAGCTAGTACTACAGAACTAAACTTTCTCAAGAAAACAGTTACTGTTTCACCGTTGGTCTTATTGTCAGTTGTTGATCATTTCAACAGAGTAGCCAAAGACAACAGTGGCAATCAAAAAAAGAGAGTTGTTGGTGTAATATTAGGTGACAATTCAACTGAGACCATCAAAGTCACCAACTCATATGCCATACCATTTGAGGAAGATGACAAGAACCCCGGAGTTTGGTTTTTGGATCACAACTATATTGATTCCATGGGTGAGATGTTTAAGAAAATCAATGCTAAGGAAAAATTGATTGGGTGGTATCACTCAGGTCCAAAATTGAGAGCCTCCGATTTGAAAATTAATGATCTTTTCAGAAGATACACACCTAACCCATTGCTTTTGATTGTTGATGTTCATGCACAAGGTGTGGGAATACCCACTGATGCATATTTCGCTGTCGATGATATCAAGAATGATGGGTCTGCTGCAGAAAAAACTTTTATACATGTTCCATCTCTAATCGAAGCAGAAGAAGCAGAGGAAATCGGAGTCGAACATTTATTGAGAGATATCAGAGATCAAGCTGCTGGAAATTTGTCTTTGAGAGTGACGCAAACTTATCAATCATTATTGGGATTACATCAAAAGTTGAGAGATATTGCAACTTATTTGGAAAAAGTTTACAACAAGAACTTGCCTATCAATCATACTATTTTGGGAAAACTTCAAAATGTATTCAATTTACTACCTAACTTGGTACAACCAGCAGGAAGCTCAGCAATAATAGGGGAAGACACTGGTGCAGCTGCAGCTACTGCCACTGCCACTGCCACTGTTGGGTCAGCGTCTGTTGGAAGCGAGTTGGCTACTGCCTTTACTGTCAAAACAAATGATGAACTTATGATCATATACATTAGTACTTTGGTGAGGGCAATAATTGCATTTCATGATTTGATTGAGAACAAATTGGAAAATAAGAGATTGAATGAAAAGAAGGCACTAGAAGCTGAGGAATCATTAGGCGAAGATAAAAATGCAATCACAGCAGAATAGATAGAGCTAAATAGGATAACGCTTACATATTTGAATAAACGAAACAGCAAAACAACTGATGAATCTAGTACTCTATCTAGGGAAGAACATTTTGCATTGTATATGGGGAGAGACGAGAGGAAAAAAAGAAAAAAAAAAAAAAAACGAATCGGAACAAAAAATTCCTTAACGCAGAGACCATTTGTGATTTCGGTAAAAGCAAACAGTTTCTTGAAAGAGTCATTGGCAGTTGGTTTATTTGTGTTGATGTTAATACTGATACAACATAAGGAAAAAGGTCCATAATGCTGCATAGATTGCTATCAATGTCGAGGTTGCATTCAGTCCAGAACTTCAACTTTTTTTTCCACAACACGAAACGACGTCTCATCAATAGCCAAACAAACTTTATCAACAATCAATTCCTCACTAGGAAAGTAAAGCTACCTCACATTTCACACGATAAGAAGGCCACTTCCTCGTATTCAAGACCACATGACAGCTCACTAACAAGAGGCTCCAACCACACCGAACTTGCATCTACAAACGTGTTGGAAAACGTAGCATCAAAAGTCCTCATTTGTCAAGAACCGGAAGCAAAACTGTCTCAAAGCTTATCCTCGGAAAACGCAGGTGCAGCCAATATCCCATTCAAAATATCCCCCAAAGCACCAAGACCTTCCAAGGTTGTGGAGCCAGCATCTCTTTTCACGTCCAAAACCAGCTTCAAGGAGGAGCTCAGAACATATGTCAAACTCACCAAACCCAATTTAACAGTGTTGGTAACTTTAAGCTGTATTTGTTCTTATGCGATATCACCATTGAGTGTCTCATTTTCGGAATTGTTGTTTTTAACAGCAGGTACTGCGTTGTGTTCAGGTGCAGCTAATGCTATAAATATGGGAAGAGAGCCTGATTTCGATCGACAAATGCCAAGAACCGTGGGCAGACCGGTTGTGCGAGGATTGATTACTCCACAACAAGCATACAACTTTGCAGCCGTAATTGGAACCACGGGTGTTTCCATGCTATACTTTGGGGTAAACCCCATTGTTGCGTCATTAGGGTTTTTCAACATAGTGTTGTATGCATGGATATACACGTCAATGAAGAGGAAATCGATTCTCAACACTTGGGTGGGTGCTATTGTTGGAGCTATACCTCCATTGATGGGGTGGGCTGCGTCCTCGTCGTTGTGGCATCCAGGTGCGTGGTGTTTGGCTGGTTTACTTTATGCGTGGCAGTTCCCACACTTTAATGCTTTATCTCATGGCATTGCCCAACAATATAAACAAGCGGGATACGTGATGACGGCCGCAGAAAACCCCAAGTTGAATGCTAGAGTAGCTTTACGGTACTCGATTTTAATGTTTCCCCTATGTTTTGGATTAAGTTATTTTGGAGTAACTGATTGGGTTTTTCCCTTTGACTCTGCCATTGCTAATGGATGGCAAGCATATTTGGCATTCAAGTTTTGGCAGCAACAGCTGAAAAACTACAAGAACCCCAAGGGTCCCACACCGGAGGGGATAGCGTTGGCTGGCGTCCATGCAAAGAAACTCTTCTGGTGCTCAGTATGGCACCTTCCTGCCGTGTTGATATTGGCAATGTTGCATAAGAAGGACCAGTGGGATAGACTATATAATTATTTGTTTTGAGAGTGGAGATTCTGTACATAGTTGGGAGAAAAAGAGAGAGAGAAAGAGAGAGAGAGGGAGTGTGTGTGTGTGTGTGTGTGTGTGTGTGTGTGTGTGTGTCTACAATAGGACGATGAACATATCATTTGTATGTACACACGCACCTGAAAATTATTAAGCCTCATTTCTATGAGTCCTGCTCTATTTGAGCTTGTCAGATTTTGCACTGTTTAAATTATATCTTAAAAGCTGGAGTGAAGAGAGTTACACCAATTGATAGACGATTCTGTAGAGCAAAATGAAATGCTAACATGATATTGATGCACTTTTAAAGAGTTGTGTGATTTGAATCTATGTATTGAGATATTATCTTCTTTTTGGGAGTACAATTGTTGCAAAAAATGTTAATAAAATTGAAACCATCTATGATTTCTTTAATCCACACACAAGTTTTAGAGACGACATTTCCTTAAAGTGTTATGCTACTCTGTATAGATCCTTCTATTGAATGATACTACTCTACAGATTTCAATCTCTCAGATGTAGTCGTTGCTAACTATACATCTTGGAGCTTGGTTAGGTGTTTTGTTGCCTCACACTTGCAACTCGGATTATCACGCTCACTAAGAATAACTTCCCCGGTATCCTACATTGAGACTTCAAAAATACATGAGCAGACATTAGACGAAGATCACTCAGTACTCAACTTAGATTAGGAAATAGAATTCTCATTTTTGAAAAAAAAAGGTTCCCACACGTTTGCGTTCTCAACTAGGAAATACCAATTCCAAAATAGGCAAACAATTGCACCAACCAGTAAAGAAAACACCCACTTTCCCTTTTCCCTTTTCCCTTTTCCCTTTTCCCTTTTCCCCATATTCTGTTTTTATACGTTTGCGAATTAAACCCAGCCCCCTGCCAAGTCTTTTTCAACCGGTTGCGCGTTCACAGCACATACAAATTATGTCTATTCCCAGTTTCGATGCAGGAATATCCTCAACAAATTCAACTCTGACATATATTCACGGAACTTTGGGCGTGCCAACACTAGCTGGAAATCCGTTATCCGCTTTTTGTCAACTTCAACGTCCTTATCTTTCTCTGATTTGCGGGAAATTAACAAAAGTCGCTATATCAGTAACACATTACATATCACCCGGGCTGCTTCTTTATCAAAAAAGGCTGGATTCATGTATAAATGACAACATTATCAGGTATCATAACATAACAACGCGTAAAAAAAAAAAAAAAATCCTGGCAATAACTAATCAGAATTACCGCATAAACAAGCTCTTACTTGGGAAAAGTTGTCCCAATTGGGAATTCTGGCAAGCCTAGGAAGTAAATTCTTCTCTCAATATAGGCCACTGAGCGGAAATAATAGGGTTTATTGTACTCTCTTATGCGGATTCACAGATGTATTGTTATCTAAAGTGAGCGGAAAATCGATACTGACTTTTGTATCACCAATGCCTCAATCGCGGATGTCGGCTTTCCAACTTTAATTTTTTTTTTTTTTTTTTTCCTTTTTTGCATTCTGTTGCATTTTGTGTACAAATGCTGGAAGGGTTTTGGTGGTCCTAAATCTGTCAACTGATTGATTCAGGTCCCGATACCCGTTGCATTGTTTATTTTTTTTAACCGTCATCGCTTCTCACGATCAGCGTTCGCCTCAGTAAAACCATGAATATTTTGGCATTACGCGTTTTGGCTTGACATACTGCATTTCCACTTGATACAAAGCCACGGAATGGTGGAACTTAAACCTAGCTAAATCTAAGCTCTTATCAGTAGTCTTGTCTTGGTCGAAGCGTCAACTATGTGACAGACATCAAAACGCACACTAAAATTCAAAGCAGTAAACGGAGATTTCAAAGGAAGTAGTGTTGCTCCAAATTCGATTCATCGTCTTCCTTATTCTCCTCTCCGCACTTTACGCCCGGGCAATTTCTAGTGTCATATTATTTGATAGAAGGATGTATGCAGATTTTCGCGTTCATTTCCATCTAGAGTTAGTAGATAAGGTTCGGGTTTTGTGAAGCATTGATAACGGTTAGTGAATTAATTGTCGGAGCCGCTATTTTTCATCTTATACAAATGCAATTTTATTGTTCTCGACTGTGATTCTGGTATTTGATATCCAAAAAAACACTATCTGTATTTGTATCCATCCATTGTGGCGGATGATATCGCGTATCGAAATCCCTAATTTGGTAACTTTTGCTCAATTGTGTACTCATTTGTTGATGTTTACACCAGCAATGACAATAGATGGTGATATTGTTCAACAATGCTGAAGGTCGGGTTTTTAGCACCGGGAAACAATGGGAGACACCAAGACCCACAGCTTGAATACCTTGTAAACACTCAATCAATAATGAAATCAAGATAAGCAATGCAATTGTTGGGGGGGGGGGAAGGGAAATTATCGAAAACAGTGTTTTGGTGCTTGTTTGATGATACCCTCACCACTTGATCCCCAAAGATTATATAAACCGACCAGTTTGACCCACTCTCGAGATAAATTTCAAATCCAAACTCCACTGAAAACAACAACTCGAGTATGCAACACTTGGCAATCTTTTTCATGCTCATTGGAAGCATTGTTGCTTCACTCATTGGCCCTCCTCCACCATCAAAAGACGACTTTTACACACCACCTGCAGGATATGAAAGTAAACCCAACGGTGCTATTTTGAAACACAGAAACGCGCCAGCTAAGCTTACCGCTGTTTTTGGAGGTTCGGTTAATGTTCAAAACTTTTGGCAGATTTTGGTCAAATCTGAAGATATTCATGGTAATCCCCAAGCTGTTGCCGCTGCTATCATTGAGCCATACAATGCATCTCGTGACAAAGTGGTTTCTTATCAAACATTTGAAGATGCAAGCAACATCGATTGTGCACCAACTTATTCTATGTTACAAGGTGCTAATGTTAGAACTATTCTCACTAGTGAAGAAGTGTTTTGGTTTACTCCATTGTTGGATCAAGGTTATTATGTTGTCATTCCTGATTATGAAGGTCCGCAAGCTCTTTTCACCGTTGGTTGGCAAGCAGCTAAGGGTGTTTTGGACAGTGTCAGGGGCGCATTGAATTCAGGAAGCTTCAGTGGAATTGCCTCTAATGCATCTGTTGCTTTGTGGGGGTACTCTGGTGGTGCTCTTTCTTCAGGATGGGCAATTGCAGCTCAACACTTGTATGCCCCTGACTTGGACAGCAGAATTATTGGTGCTGCTTTCGGTGGATTTGTCACCAACATCACAGCCGTTGCCGATGTAGCTAATGGTGCACAATGGGCCGGTCTTATTGGTAATGCTATTGCCGGTATTGAAAAAGTTTACCCACAAGTCACAGACTACTTGAACACTTACAGAACCAACCTTAACGACATTGAGGTCAATAATCTTCCAAATTACTGTTTGTTGGACTCTTACTTGCTTTTCGAAAACCGTACTTTCTTTGGAAACGATGACAGATCAGTCTACCAAGGGGGTATTGACATTGTTAACCAGGAACCACTCAAGTCAGTTTTGGAAGAGATTGGATTGGAATATCAAAACTCCACTATTTTACCTCATGCTCCAGTGTTTATCTACCATGGTAGACGTGATGATATTGTTCCCTTTGCAGATGTTGAAAGAGTTTACAACAATTGGTGCGATTGGGGTATTGAGTCTTTGGAATTGGCTATTGATGAGACTTATATGCACTCAGAAGAGCTTTATGTTGGCGCTCCTGCTGCTATTGCTTGGCTTACAAAGCGTTTTGAAGGTGCCGCACCAGTTAAAGGTTGTTCCAAGCAATCATACTCCAACACTCTTAACTACCCTAATGTCGAGGATTCATTGAAGAAGTACTTCACTGGTGTTATGAACGATTTACATGGATCTCCACTTGGTCCAAATGCTAAATCAGCAAATGACGTCTCCCAAAACCTTCAACGCATCCGTCCATCTAACCCATGGCAATGAGTTCATCATTGGATTTTTTGTTGGTGAATGGGGGTTCTCTTTACTTTCATACGTTAGCTAGTTTAAAATGACAATGTTATCTTTATAATTTCACTTTCCAGAAATATAGTATCCTCTATTTTGTGGGGCAGGCATGACATAAGCTTTTGCCAGTAAATCGAGAAACTTCTAAAGTTTGGGTGAAGTGCTGTAATCATTCTTCATTTTCAAAACAGACTGAGCAGAGAGCGGCAGAGAGAGGCAGAGAGAGGCAGAGAGAGGCAGAGACAACACGGACAAAATATTTCTGCAACAACCATTACACGCACACACACACACTACACAACACCACAGGAGTACCTTGTCAATCGTACCTCATAATCGCTTTGAATCTATTCAACCTCATCACATTGGGAAAGAATGTTCAAAACGCAAACACGAAGTAAGAGATATGAACAACTGGTTGAAAAGACATTGGCGCTATTTGATTCATTAGAAGAATGGGCCGATTATATTGCATTCCTATCCAAGTTACAAAAGAACTTACAGTCGTATATTGACTCGGATGCGGATGGAGTGGTGGGTGAAGATGACCAGCAATTTTTTGTTCCCCATACAAGACAGGTTTCTTACCGATTGGCCCTATGTCTTTCCCCTACATTACCCAATGGGGTCCATCAGAAGGCACTTAACATATACGAATTTATATTTGACAACTTGTCATTGCAACAAATCAATTCCGAGGTCAGTCTATGGTTGCCTGGTCTCCTTCCACTAATCTCATATTCATCAATCCAGATCAAACCTCAACAGATAAAAATCTTGAAGTCAGTGATTCTAGATAAATTAACACGTGAGACTTTGGGTAAATTGATCAAACCGTTGGTGCTATGGCTTCTATCAGGATTGGAGGATACCAATTCTGAAGTGTTTGAAGATGTTCATTCGTTAATGGTGGCATTCAAATCCAAACTTCAAGATGACTCCCAATTTTGGCATTGCACTTTTCTCTGTATTATAACCACTCCTGAACGAAGACTTGGAGCATTACATTGGTGCGAACGCAATTTGCCTGAGTTTACAAATACAAAAGATGAACAAGGCAATCCTCTTTTTTCTCAAGAGGCACAGCATTGTATGAAACCCGAGGCTGGCTTACTCATTAGAACATTTGCGACTGTTATCGGGTCGTCATCGCTTCTGTCAGATATTTTGGTAACTCGCGGATTCTTTGATTTATTATTGTCGCGCATTCCGTTGGATAGTGCCATATTTGATAACAAAGTTGATTCAAAGGACAAAGATCTATTGATTATGTCATGTTGCAAAATTACTTTGAATAAAGATGTCAGTTTGAACAGGAGAGTTTTGAACTATTTTTTGGGACCCGATATCGACAGTGATAGTGAATCACGCAGAGAGTATTTCAGAAAGAATGCAAAGGTTTCATTGAGTCAAGGTCTTGTACAAATGGGAACATCCGAGTCAAAAAAGGAGCAAATTGATGCGTTGAAAATGTCATTCTATTTGATTATGGATAAGTGGGAGATAAATTACGAATTAACACCAGAGTTGTTTGCTCCTTTTCTTTATCACTGCTTTGACAAGCGTCATGACCAAGATATAGTGAGAACGGCCATGCACTTTTTTGACGAAACTGAGTCAGGCTTTATTTGGAATGAAGTTTTCAAGCTGATTGTACAAGGTGGAAGTTTAAATCTCGACATCACCGAATTTATTATCAAACACTTTCATTTAAATGAGGATGAAAATGTTGGCAAAATTGCTCCGTTAGTATTGGCTTGCCTTTTGGATAGTGTGGGGATAAATGCCCAGAAATTGGAACTCGTTGAAATTGTGTTTGGGTACATTCAGTGGGGAGAATTGAGCAACATTGACTTTGACACTAGTTTTTCCAGCACCCATGTACTCGATTCAGTCACACAATGGACCAAACAAGATACAAGCTACGACTTGGACTCTCTTCCGTATTCTCCAGAGGAATTGACCTCATACACTTTCACGCAATTGGAAACGCTACATCTCGATGATTCCTTGGATTTGACCTTGAGTACTAGGATTGGGAAACTTTTAATCCGTTTATTTGATGCAATTGAAAATGATGATGCAAAGCAAGTAATAGCGGAAAAATTAATTTCGAAATGGTTGAAAGACTCAACCAATCTTCTGGACACTGGAATTATATCCGCTGCTTTGATTAGAGTGGACATGCTCAATCATTTATCCAAATTCATCAGCGCGTTTCAAAAAGAAAAATACTTGAAATTTATATTATCGGGCTTATGGCAAGCAGTTGTATCATCTTATCCTGCAAATCATCAAGTCGAGGCTGTGAAAAGCATATTCGAGTTGAAGTTTACTTTTTCCATGAACAAGATTGAAGGAGGTGTGCTGGAATTATTTTTGACGTTACCGTTTGGCAAGCAAATTGTTGCCTTTGAAACATTGTATGTTCATTCCTCGGGAACCGATGAGGCAGAGAATATCTTGAGCCGTTTATTCCAAGCAATTTTGGATGTATCGACTGATAATGGAGGTCAATGGAAAAAGGTCGTCCTGGATTTGATTAGTCGTCTAATTGGCAACGGCAAGCCACAAAGATTGCTCAATTTATGCTTCAGTCCATTGACGCAATATGCTCTCTTGGATCATGGACGTTTCAAATGTGAACCCAATGCTGATGGAAATCAATATGCTTATGATTTAAAACAAGTTTTGTCTTTGTTGAATTTCGATCTGAAAAGTATCAGAACTCACATCAGCAACGCCCAATTTGTTGTTCCAGATGTGGCACGTGATTACCATGAACACAGTGTACACTACACATACAAAAAGTATTTGATTCTTCTTGTAAAGGAAAATATAAGACTGATTACTACAGAGGACAAGCTCAGGTATCACGAAAATGACTATAGTATTATAGCCGATTTGAGCTTGAAGATCTATATGAAAATAATAACGGGAAACGAAAAGACATTTGAAACCTTATTTGAAGATTTGCTTCTTGACACATTGAATCATATCAACGCGCTGCAAAGGCATGCTGTATCAGAATCGACAATTGGCAACTTTTTGCTGTGCATTTTCCATTTTCTTGAGCGAGCATCAGGGGCAAATGCGAAATTGAACTTGCTACATGTTCACGAACAAGAAAAAGGTCCCATTTTGGTAAATTTGATCCAAGCAGGTTTGACGCAATGCAAATCGCCGAGTATACTTGAAAAGTATATGGATTTAGTGATCAAATTGGCGTATCTTTTTGGTGACTCGATCTTTAGCATCCTACTCACATTGACCGAAACAATTGTTTTGAAAATCAATACGTTATTCAATCGTTTCCTCAACTGGGATGATTTCCCATCGAATGAAAATTTTGATAACTCCATGAGTATACTTTTTGATGGATTAGAAAACTTTTTAACGGTTTGTCATGGTTATTTGATGCACTCAAATGTCAAACTACAAATTCAATCGCAAACAAATAAAGATTCAAACAACAATGGATTTTTGAACAGTGTTATGCTGGGTGTTTTCCAAATTGAGTCACCCTCTACCAAAGATAATGAACAGAATAAGCATTACTCCACCCTTATTGCCTTTCACGATGCGACAAAGGTCAGTTTCAAAATTTGGGATTGGGCTGACTCGAAAACCGATGTACCTGCTACCATCACCACGTATTCTAATCGATCATTAACATTTATTTCTCATAAGCTCAAGTTCAAAACTAAAACGTTTTTGGACAGATTGATCGAATTGGAAAGACAGGAAATCGTCAGTACGTTGATCACTTCCCATAAACAATTAACGAGTGTGTTGAAAATTCTCAATATTTTGGATAATGGCCGATCGCAAGTGACTTTGCCTTATATATTCAATTATTTGAAGATGAAATTCAATCCTCAATCATTTTTGGACACTGATAAGACCTATGTTGAGTCAGATGTGGATACGAAGGAGCTATCTAGATTCCTAGTGGCGTTTTATGACTTTATGGATTCAGATACAGTTTTCGATACTTGGCATCAAACGTTGGAGTTTTTGGATACAATGACATCGCAGATAGTTCATTTCGAAGCTATTGTTCCAGCTGCGTTGCAAATCTGTAACGTATTGTCGATTAAAGCAAGTAGCACAAGAAATCGAGAATTACCAAAGAATAAGAAGTTGCTATCTGATGGTTTTACCAAACTTTTCAATCAGTATGTCAACCACTACACACTTAGAAAAACAAAATCTGCTGATGCTAATGATGTTGTTGTATCTGAACAGCATTTCACTGATGCTTTGACCGGAGTGATACCTCTATTGGATGAAATATATCGAGATTCCGAAAAGACAAATCAAACTGTTGGGTTCATAATCAATAGTGTCATCTTATTCTCAAATAAGAAAAAGCAATCTCACTTGAGTGACACTTTGCTTCACTTGTTATTGCTCCTTGGTCAACATTACCCTATACGTATCTGGAGAACAGCAGTGGCAGATTTGTTCAATGATGGAAATTTCTTCACCACCAAAGCATGCTCAGCTGATAAATGGATGGAAATTGTTCGAATTTGGATCGAACACGATAAGGACAGGTTCGATGACAAGGTCGCCAAGATTGCGTCTTCGTCGACTACTTCTCCTGCAGGAACATTGTTCAACTGGAATGAAGAATCAGAAATTGAAGCCAAAATCAATGTTCTCAAGCAATTGACCTATCTCATTCTTATACAACCCCATGATTACTTCGCCAACAAGACGAATCAGTTGTTTGACAAACTAGACCAGTTGCTAAGTTTGAATACTTGTCCCACGTCAGTTCGAATTGAAATCAGCACATTGCTTCGAGCTCTTGTTTTGAAAATTAGTGATGTTCATTTGACTCCTCACTGGGCGTTGATTATTCATGAATTGTTACAGATTTTTGATTTGATTTCCAGTCCGCCCAAGTCACCAAAGGAATTAATATCGATGACTCCTCAAACTTTACAGTTGATATTATTCGCTTCGAAATTGCTTGATGAGTTGTTGATTATCGATCCTGACGGGTTCAATTTAAACTCGTGGTTGTTCATAAGTATTGATTTTGAAAACAAAGACACGCAAACTAATCTGATTATAGATTTGATTTCCCGGAATAATGATTTTACCTTTTTGAAGAATGATGCAATTAAGCTCAAGCACGGATATTTGACAGATGAGTATCTCTATCCATTATTAGAGGGAGTGAGACATATTTCCCTGATTACGCAATTGCGATTGTTTTTCGATTCCTTGAGCATGATTCATTACGAACGAACTTATAGCTTAAAGCCCGTCAACTACACCGCCTGCCAGAAAGACATCATACAGGATTTGATAACCATGAACCAAAACTAAGGTATGAAAACATGCCAGTAAAAGCCGAGTCGCATTTGTTATATATATATATGTATTAGCTACATATACCTCTATAGACTGAATAAAGAGAAATTTCTTTAAATTAGAACAACTAATTCTTCAACTGCCTAAATTGGCTGTCAATAATCTCCTTTATTTCTTTGTAACTCACAATGATGTATTCGTTCTCCTTGACCAATAGCAACTTCTCATCAACTCCACAATCCAACTTATTTAAACTCACCAACACCTTATGCAAGTTAACCACTCTAGCTCCATTGGAATCATAGGTTTGAAATAAAGTTTGTTGGAATAATTCAATAACCTTGATCTGATTGATATCATTCAATGATTGCGTGTTCAAATTGTTATCTCCTGTGGTAGTGCTCACCACAAAATTGATCTTTGTGAGTAACCTAAACAATCGAGCATTTTCCAATTCCGAAGTCAATTGCAGTTCAAAGTAATCAGTCGAATTTTGCAAGCTGTTAATTGTGGCGAAAGTCTTGTCAACAAGATAATCACACACGAATTGTTTCAAATTGAACTCTTGTGCATCACCATTCAAGACTTTCAATACCTCAATGAAGTCACCACTTATGTTTGTTGAGTTTGCTAAATTTCTCACCAAAATGTCTTCCTGACTCGATCTTAAGTTTATTGGAAGTAGCAAGGAGCTCAAATCAAGCATTACTTTACCCAAATTCTTTACGTCTCGACGTTGCAATTCCTTTACATCAGGCTTGTCGACTTTACCATAATCCAAAACATCACTAATTCCACAACTGCTCAATCTAATCCGATTTTCTCCTGTATTTATGATCTTGCTCACCTCCATAGAACAGCCCACGTACAATTCTTTAGAATGTATACTCTTCAAAGCATTTACCAATTGAACAAGATATACCCACAAGAGATCTTCCGTAATAGGCTCCACTCGCAATGCCTTCTTGTGATATTCTAATAAAGTCTTGGAGTTTGGATAGTAATCGTAGACAAAACATAGCGCAGTAGAGTTGTCTGCTTTGCTTCCACCAATGGAGCTAAAGGCCAATGATGTAAACACGTCTTTGATCCCCACAATGTTAGCATTGGTGTTGAGCAATTGCCACGTTTTGATACTCTTGAATGCACTATCATCTGTGACTTCATTGCAAGGTTCAATTTTTCTTAATGCGTACAAGTTCCCGTCAATATTGGAGTAACATTTGAACAAAAGGCTGCTCTTACCCGGCCAAAGCCTACTCACTGCTTCATAGGATGCATCAATTGGGACCAACGAGTGATAAGAATTCACGTGCTCGGGCAAATTCAGATGCTGGAGAGTTTGCAAGCTAGCCTCATTTTTACGATGTAAACTCTCTCTCACTTCGTTGGGGATAAACATCTTTAATGCATTAGTTTCATTATCTTTTATTGGCACGGTCAATCTTGGAGGTGGGGCTGGGGCGTACAAGTGATATTGTAACGGATACAATGGTCCTTGCTGATGCAGCTGTGATTGGGAAGTAGGAGGAGGAGGAGGAGGAGGAGGAGGATGTGGTGGCGGTGGTCCACCCAAACCTTGTCCTTGTTGGTGAAGTTGGTTTTGCTGCGAGGGAAAGAAGTTAGACGACATCAATGGTGCTGAATTCATTACAGACGAGTGTAACACGTGACTCTGATTTGCTGGAACGATTGGACTTTGAGTATCTTGCAGATACGGGTTAGCCGAGGTATGCTGAGGTTGTATGATACCACCTGATGATCGTGCACTAGACGGGCCATTTGGAGACGCCAATACTTGCAGCTTGGCCGAATACTGATGCTGTTGTTGTACTTGTTGTTGTTGCTTCTGCGTTTGACTCTGTTGTGAAAGAGGAGCAGTCCCTGGTGACGCTGCACCTGGAGTAAACTCAAAACTAGATGGCGTAAAAGACGGCGTACTCGCGTTAAATTTCCTTGAACCAAACGGGAGACCAGACAGGTTACTTTGTTGTTGTTGCTGTTGTGGTTGTTGTTGTTGTTGTTGCTGAGGGGCCTGTTTTCCTTCTTGATCTTGAAAAGACTCCGGTTGAAATACAGGTGCGTCCTTGACAGTTGGAGACAAGTTTGAAAACTTGGAAGTAATGCCATTGACCATCTTATCCTTTGTACCACTCGGTTGAAATAAGGGTGTTTCAATGTTGAATTTCTTCCGCCCACTGTTAGAATTGGACAAATTTGCCGGTGCGGTAGAGGGCAAAAGAGATTGCTGCAGCTGTGATAGCCGAGATCGTGAACTTTTAGTTCTCAATTGGTGCAGTGGTTGGGTTTGTAACTGACTAGCGTGTGAACCGGACCCTGGACCCTGATCTTGACTGGGACCATTTCCATTTCCGCTTGGTTGTAATCCAGTCAGTTTGTGATGACTGAAAGCGCATCCTTTGTCTTGATATTTACAGTAGCCATATATCAATACATTTTTACAAAGAACGTCCTTTGCTGAATCTAGATTAATGTTCATGAGTGCGGCAGTTTTGTTGCTTCGAGGGATAATGTTTGCTGTTGCTGACAGTTGCAGCTTTAAAAATTGAGGGGACCTTGAAGTGGATTGCTAGTAGGTGTAACGTTATATATCGATCTATGCGTGGCTCTTTGCTATGGTTAGTGTAGCTGTGGTAAATCTCAATCCTTTAATGTTGATAATTGTTGTAGTTTAAGCATTGTTCTCTTCGTGTCTCCTTGTCTTTTTGTTCATACATACACGACCAATAGGGTCGTAGTTTAACTTACTTACGAGCTAGTTCCTTGCAAAGTCACTTTCAGACGGTGACATAGTAGATGATGCGAAATTAATGAAACACACTTTACTTTATAGAGCGGAAGTTGCCAGAAGAGGAAATGGACTACGTTGGTTCAAGTCATCACTACTGAAATATCTTTGTATCGGACTCACCAAATTGGATCTTGTAACAAGATTGCGCTTGATCCACTACTAATGAGGTGAGAGTGTGACATTACATCTCTACTACGCTTGCTGAGCTCCTCAGCTTGTACACTTTTACCCTTTTCTTCTTCTTCTTCTTCTATAAAGCGAAAGCTACAAAGTGTGTCAAGGGGGTAATGCAAAAGTTTATATATGGCACAGTTGTCACACCATTAACTAAATGAGCGTTATGCTCTTCTCTTCTCTCTTTTTGTGATATGTCCACAACAGAAATAAAAAACGGTCCTCGATTTTAGACAGGTTGGGGGACTTCCTCTTCGTCGTCATCGATGTAAGCAAGGACTGTCAATTATTCGCTCATCAATCACCTAACAAATACCACCTGGGGCCAGCGCAGTCACAAGAATAATTTCCTGGGTGCTCCATATACCCGGTGCGTTACTCACTTTGATGTGAAAAACTCTTCCCATATTTTTTCTGTTGGTGCATTGTGCATCAATTCAAAAGTCCGTCTTCCTTCGCGGGTATTCGAAGACCTAGCGTGTAAGGAGCTCCCAAGTTGAGGAGGAAATTCCGAAGAATAGGTTGGGGAATGATGTGGATGTTGTTGTTGGTGATGTTGGTGGATGGGAAAGTGAGGTGGCTCAGAAACTTGGGTACCATCGAGATGCGTGCCATCAACAGGAGGGGGAGGCGTTGACTTGTCCAGGACGGTGCCTGTTGTTGTTGCTGTACCAACGACTTGATTGTTGTGATTCAATTCTTGAAAAAAGAAATCCAATTCTTCGTCATTCCAGTCTGGATATTCAAACCCATGTGCAAACTCGGAGGAGGTCACAACCACATTCTGCGATCCTCCTGCATTGTGGTGATTGTCTTCCTGGTGATGTGGCAGACGATTTTGGTGCTGCGAGTGAGATCCTTGTGGTGACTGGTGTTGCAGAAGCTGATCTCCCCGAGTTCCAACACTTTGTGGTGAGCTTTTCGTCAATGGGTTCAAATGATCCAACTCATTAACCAATTGGAATAAATTAGAGTGAACATTCCCATTGTTGATTCGGTATAACGATTCGCGACTCACTTTAGTTTCACCCTTGTCACCTGCACCTTCACCGTTTGCTGCCGAGACATCAACATCGGAGCCATTTTTGCGACCGTGTTCTCCAATCTCTCCTTGTCTCTTGCTGCCACTCCCCGACATAAATTGATTGATCAGCTCATTAGGATACTTTAACTTAACAATAACCAAAGTAAGATTCTGGAAAATCTCGCAACAATATTGAGCTGCATCGCATTTATCGATCAAACTAGACAAAATCTTCAAGCAATTGGAACAGCTGAGCATAACGGTGTTTATCGGATTCATGGCTCTGATTTCATCGGAATTGTACAATGAGTATAAGTAGGATGTACCAGCCATGAATAAATTATGTACTGCTGCCCATGTATAATTAACTGATTTGGTCAAGTACAACTGTGTATAACAGTTAATCACCTCTTTGGCAGAAATCGAAACTTGGCGTATGTCATCCATGGTTAAATTATAATTGCGAGGTCCCAACCCATGGATGTACAACAAAGTATGATGATAATTCAAATGGAAAAAAATAGGGTTGAAATTACAATTCATTTGTTTCGGAGTGGGCAAGTTTTGATACCAATGGGTCAATCTTGCCAAAATATCACCCTTCCATTGTGACAAATCGGTGTACCTTCGCGGAAGTTCAGCTCCCGTATAAAGAATCTTTGTAACTTCACTTTGTAGTTGCCGTATAGTTATGAATGCCAAAGACACATTCTTGTAGCTAACCACATCACCAATGAACCCTTCATCATTGCTCAACTTAGTGTAGTCCATGATGGAATCATGAGTGTAAATTTTCAGATCATCCCACACGCTGAGCAACGGAGTGTTTATACTCTCATCAGGAATGCCAAATGGTCTGTCCAAGTAGAAACAAATTTGCCTATCAATGGAGTACGTACACCAGAAGATTCTTCTTCTCTTGTCCCTTGTGTACCCATCAATGTTCATATTTTGCCGTGACTTCGTCTTGAGTTCATTTTGCAAGTCCAAGTCAACACACATGCGTAAAGCCTCCCCCATGATATACCACACCCCAGGATTTGTTGGCCGCATTATGGAATAAAACGCATAAAGTAGTATTCCCTGCAAAGCCATCAATTGGTCAATATTTCGTTTGACGACATTGTAGTATTTCATTGCCGCTAAACGAAATGACTCCGATATCTGCGATGGATATTTCAAATGATGTACTGATGACGCAATAGCAAACACCATATTGAGAAAAAATAGTGGGACATGGAATCTTCGAGGTGGGACAATTGTATTTGAAATTGCCCTGATATCAATATTGTTGTTGGCGCTATTTGATTCGTTTTCTTTGGTAAGTAGTTGTTGAAATTGCGACTTGTATTCATCAAACCAATATCCACCTTCACCGCCGTCATTAAAGTCGCTCTCCCAGAATGAAGCATTGACGGATCCGTCATTACTGGCAAACTGAAATCGACTCAGTTCAAGTGGTCCATATATCGGAATAAAATAATCGCGAATAAACTCTTCACGATGCATGATGGGGAACTGAGGATTGCATTGATGAAAAAATATTTGACAAAATTGTAGAGCTGTAGACTTGGGCGGTAGTACTGCTGCCTGCTTAAGCTCATCGTCAGATAAACCATCAGCATCGACATTTGCTCTTGGATCTTGATCTTCCTCGTCTTTGCTTGTGATGTCATCATCAGCGCTTTTTTCATGTCGCTTTTGAACTTTAACTGCAGTGGACATTAACTTCAGAAAGCTGATTTTATTACTTCCTTTCTTTCCGCTTTTATCACTTTCCAATGAATGAGCGTGGGACTTATTTCCATTCTCCGTTATGCTTTGAGCAGTCCAACCATTGTCTGCGACAACCTTTTCACTGTCGCCAAGGGTAATAAAATCATTGTTATTGCTAGTTTCTCGCCCATTCTCACTAACATAGACCTCAGTATCGGCCAGGACATGAGCATCAGAACGTCCACCCAATTCACTCAACTTTCCCTCCAAAAACTTCACCCTCTCTTCCAAATGAACAATATAACTACGTGGTATTTCCCTCCCAGTAATTGGATCTAGCCCCATACATTCGACATTGTGCTGGGCACATTTCCCACATTGCGGAAATTTCTGGTCACATTTGATTTTCTTGGTTCGACATCGCTTGCAAGCTGAGATTGCGCGGGATATTTTCACTGTTTGGGATCTTCCTGTGGAGGATCCATGCGAATCTGAATTCAAAGAAGTTGATTCAAGTGGGGGCCCTAGTGGTGAAGACGATGATGAAGCTTTTGTTTTCTGCTTCTTTGTGGAAGGATGTGTCATTTACCTATGCTGGTATATGGTGGGTTGGGTTGTGAAAACTAAAACAGAAGAAGCAGCAGTAACAGCAACAACAGTAGTAGCTGAGGAGGAGGGGGGGTAGTAGTAGTAGTAGTAGTATTTAAGGTTAAGAGTGGGGGTTGTGTAGATAAAAAAGATCAACTAATAGATAACACTCTCCCTGTTGTTTTTTTTTTTCTGTCGCTCAAAAGGGTTTCAATTTACGAAAAACTATCAAGCATTTCATGCGCTTTCTACATCGAACAGCATCAAATACGTTGGACATTATCGGTGTTAAAATGGATATGGCTAGATGCAAACCTAGAAGAAATGCGTAACTATAGTTGAACTTACGAATAAGAGGGGAAAATTCTCTAGTTCTTTGTTCTTGTGGTGTGGCACTTGAGTTGGGACAAAAAACCACCACAGGCAATCCGTTTAATCAACAATCTTTCCCTTGGCACTGATTACAATATGTCATTCATATTTATGTCAATTGAGTTCAGAAATATATCATTTGATTCCCTGAAACTTTTATAGCAAAATCACCAAGTCGTGTTGGTCATCATGTAATTTACTCGCTACTGCAACTTTCGATATCCAGACTTTTTTCAACCACAAGGATTTAGTTTCTGTCATGATGTTTCAAAATTACCAAATCAATAAGATTCAAGAATTTCAAAGTGCGCTCAGAGTGGTCGAATAAGCTACCCAGTTCATTGTACAAGAAGTTGAAGGTATCAAGGATTGTGACGAGAACGACATAGAGGAGCACGAATTTGATGAAGATGTGCTTGGTGAAGCTAATGATGAGAACGAGATTACCAATCAGGAGCTCAGCGACAGCTAT